CAGATTTCAAGCCCTTGGACTTGAAATAAGTTAGAAACTAAAGTGCCATTTGTAATTTGGAACAAAACAAAGATCTGCCTCCTTTAAAAAAAACATGGCACTGAGGAATTAGGGCTTTTTACTGGCATAGTTCTTATGGGAATTTAAATGTGGCATGAACATGCTTTCTACTCTCCAGGCAGCGTTTTCTTTCTCTTCTTGGACAGATGGAGGCTTTGCTAGTTGAGGGAGTCAGTCACACATCTTGGATCCGATGCTGCAGGGACGTCGCCTTGCAAGCTGGACGCAGCCTTGCCAGGGGTCTGAGGGTGTTCTTGCAATTTTTGGAATGGAGTGCCCTTTTAATTTCTGATGTTAACCTTTTCCCCTGCAGCAGCCAGGGGAGTGTTTTCTCCCCTCAGATCTGCTCTGGTGTGGATCTGCCTGTCTGCTCGGCTGTGTTGCCCCCGGCCTCTTTCTCCCCTTCGCCTACGTGGCTCATTTTCTGACTCTGCTCACATCTCTGCAGAAGAAGAGAGAAAAAGAGAAAACTTCTTTAGCACAGTCGCCACAATGAGGGAGAAGCACACATGGTTATTTGCAAACACACATACATACCTTGACTAGCCTTGTAAAGATACAGGGGGGGGGTTATGATTTATTTCTAACATAAACACTCTCTGTGTCAGGACCTCTGATGATAGCAGAGGTTTATGTATTGTTCTGTGTGGTTTGAGTATGTGCACAGCGGCATGCATGTGTAGTTCACACAACTGCTTTGGTACTGATAGTGGAGTCATAATGCTCATGTAGTCAAGTACTTTATGCTATTATCACTAAAGGTCATGTAGATAGCCCACCTGAGTCCCCAGACATGGCATTTACACACTAGAGGTGCTCAGAGATAAATGTGGTAGTGTGTGTGTGTGTGGGGAGGTGGGGGTTGTATTACAGGGTAAAAACAAAGTGGCTACAACAACACAATGTTTTACTCTGTGCGTCTCCTCCACCACTACACACTGCAGCCTGCTAGCTTGTCAGCGTAAGTGGAAAAAGGAATAAAGAGGGATTGAGTGATAAGGGCTGTGATTCTCTTAAAGATTTACCTGCAAGTTCCTGGTCCAACATGTTGATAAAACTCTCTAGCTCCGTTGTGTCTCCCAGCTTGGCTGCAGAAAGGTGACAAGAGAAAAATGGAATTTGAGGAACTACATTATTGGGAAGAAAAGAAGAAGAAAATAGCAGTGGAACATTTCTTGGTGGAGAAATGCATGTCAGTGCCATGGTATTTCCTTTGGTCCAAAAGCTGAGAATTAATCTAAGTCTCAGAATTACATATGAAGTGAACTACTTCATGACTCGCAAAAACATTGTCAGCTTCTTTTCTTCAGACTGCGATAAAAGCTGATCTTAGGTGCTTTAAAAAAAAAAAAACTCGACAGCTCGATGGATCCAAGCACAATCTTTGTTGTTAACATCTGAAGATATTGTCTGTAAACACTGACAGAGTGAATGCCACCTCATGGTCACCCTCTTGTTTTTCATCCTTTGAGACTGTAACAGTAGTCTGTGTGTCTGCATGCAACAAAAAACACACCCACTTTCATTCATTTGCACACACCTGAGCCACTTGTACCTCTACATTTCAGCACTAATAAACCCTGCAGGAGACTTGGGGGGGGGGGGGGGGGGGGGGGGTCACAGCGGCAGGGGCTTTGTTGTGTAAAACAAAAAAAAAAGCTCCTAGGCTAATGTGGAGTGTTTTTGGGAGTCTGTGATAGTGATCAGAGAGAAAGCGATAGTGATCACTGTAAGAACAAGGGGCTATCTGGATTGAGATGGGGCTGATGGGAGCCTCTAGTACCTTTCGGTGTCAGCGTGATGCCTGCCGTGTGAAGCTCCTCCTCACTGGTGTTCAAACTGTTTCCCAAAGAAGCTTCGCTGCCTGGGGGGAGAGAGGGAGGGGAGGGTAGAATGAGGGCTGATTATAAAATAAGACGAGCACTGAGGCCAGGAAGTGTGCAAATAATCAATGACAACAATGGCAACCCTTTTAACACAATGCAGGAATGCAAATAATAAGCAACAAAGAAAAAAGGAAGGTAAACACGTTTTCACTGTAAGCACCCCCCAAGTGTCAGTTTTTGAAAAACGGTTTGCTTGTTGAAATGTTTGGGAGGCAAAATGCTTTCAATAATGACGACACATGGGAGCAGAGAAACCTCTTTTATCTCATAACCGTTGATAATTCAGCAACAACAAAAAACGAGAAAATCAGACAATTACAGAATATAGGTTATCCACAATTGCTGTTCATGCCAGTACACAGCAACAGAATTGTTGTGAGAAAAATAGTGTACAGGGATGTGTCTCTTGTACTGATAATTTCATGCAAATTAAAAGTGTCGAGCTGCAGTTGTTTGGGCTGATGAAGGAGCTCAACCAGCACCCAGGGGGACTCCATAAATAATGTTAACCTCCCACACTCTTTACAATAACATTATCTTAATAACAGTAACATGGTTTCCGGGTGAGCATTAAGTCACTTACTGTAGTCCGAGTCATCAACACCGCTGTCTTCTGCCAGTCCTGTGCGGCTTTTAGCCTCGTGCAGGACCCGCTGGTACACATGTGCTCTGCTGTGAGACGGGGCCTTCAGGTCCTCCACCACATCCTGGAACTCCTGCAGTAAGTCGTCCAGCTCTAGCTCCAAGTCTGTGGAAAATGTGACAGCAGTTGGAGGGGAACTCACATTACTTCATGGAAAGAAAATATTAAGATGGTGTCAAGATTTTTCAGAAAGCAAAGAGGCAGAGGAGATGAAAAATAACATTTTTAAGCCTTGATTAAATGCTGGATTTTCGTTTCTGAAATAAAACAAGCAAGTAATTAACAACTCAAAGATGTTGAGATCCCTCAATGAAAAATATCTTCTGGGTAAAAAATGAAATCAAATAAAATCTAAAAGCCAAAGCCTGCAGTTGGCGTTTATGTCAGTGGGTTGAATCCGATAACTTGATGTGTGGATATAAAACTAACAGCCCATAAGGCATATAAAGCATTTAACAGCCTGTAAAACAACTGTGATAAACAAATATTACCAACTTCTTTTCTGAAGGCTAAATTCTAGCATTTTGTGCCATTTAAAAAAATAAAGCACAGTCTTAAAATAACAGATGCAGTATGGGATGGACAGACCTCAACTTTATACTCCTTTTTTATCATATTTTCAGGCTTACATGGAAATTAGTTTTAACAGTTTCCTTTGGGGAATATGAGGCAATAAAAGAAACAGAATAATCCAAAATGTAAGCACACATACACTGTTAAAATGTATTTATTTGGCAAGTCATGGCTGCCAAAGATTTTTGTATATGGGAGGGAAAACGTCTAAATCATAATAAATAAATAAAAAAAACAAATGAGAATAATTGGAAGAACAAAAACTAAAGGCAAAGAATGACAGGCTTCTTAAAACTACAATCAGCTCAATTTTAGTGTAACATTAAAAACAGGCACATCCAGGAATTATAAAGTTTAAAAACAGGTAACAGCCTCTCTAACAGAAGAACACTGTGGTTAACCTGGACATCATTGCATCATCTTTAAAAACTGAAGTTGGACTCACCTTTGTTTAAGTCTGAGGACATACTGTAGAAGTGAAGTAAAAACACCAACAGACTGCTGTGTCTCTGAGTAAGTTCACAATATTTCAAGCTGACGAGCAGGGCTGTAGGTTTTTTATTTTTTATAAAGCCCCCACACCCGCTAAACTAGCGGGCCGGGGCAGCCAATCACGTCGCAGAGAGACCGCAGAGTCTGCTGAAGCTGGAAAAAGTGGGCGGAAAGTTGAAAGGAAAACCATCACGCAAATGAGACAAACGGAAATAAGCTGTTATGTAACTCAGGTCGAGACTTTTCTGCTTTTCCCATGCTTTCAAATTAAAAAAGGGAGAGTGTGTGTGGAATCTTAAAGCTACTCGTTTAGTATTCACAAGGAAGTTTCCTGTTTCTGACAGAGGGAGCTTTCTACATTAACGTTTTACAGAGGACCTCGAAGAGTCACTCTGAGTTAGAATGAAACTTTAAGAATAATAAACTGTGATGATGGTCCCACGAACGTGCTTCTTAAGAGCCTTGTTACACTGGGAATGATTTGTTTTTAATAATTTATAATATCATTTTTTAGTCAAGACTACAACATTTTAACAAAAAAATCTCTCCCTTAATTCCAGACTGCGGCTGGACTTTAATTAACTCAGCAGTTAACATATTCATAGAGTTTTTCTTAATTAAAAAAAAAATCTTTCGACCTGTCAAGCCATTTTAAAAATGTATTTTGCTGTAACGTGTTCAGTACCCGGTTCTGTCAATAGGGGCCGCTGTGATGCAATTTCAGTTAAAATCCCTTCAGAACAGCTGTTCCTCTGTGGCCCATATTATGTAATTTTTAGAGGAGTAGTCTTGTATGCTCAATTGCACTAAATATAGTTAACACCAGTATGTTTTATTCAGAAGCCCCTTTTAGAGACTGTTATCATATTTTATAATTGAAGTAATACAATTGATGCACTTTTGAGCCTATTGTATTTTGATGTTGAAGCTCATTAATGAAGGGGTATGATAATAGCTTAGCAAATGTGTTTACATTTCTCAGGTTTGTATCTTATAATTTCAACATACAAATTAATTAGAATTAGTTTAAAATATATATATATATATATATATATACACACATATATATAGCCTATATATATATGCATTTTTACACTTTTGCTATTTATAGTAACTTGATCTGTGGGGCTTTGGAGGCTTCTGGAAATATGCAGGAAACAAAACAGTATACCAGAAGATAAATCTGCTGATGAACAATGATTCAGATACAGTTCTAAAAGATTACAAAGTTTAATGAACAGCAGACAGCAGGTGTGCTAATAAAAACAGGTGTGCAAGCACATTTGGTATTTGCACATTAATCCTATCCCATATAGTTCAGAGGAAAGATATGTCCATAAACCAACATGTGTTCCTCTCATGCAGGTAAACCTGTTGTTCCTCTAGCTTCTCCTGTGTCAGTCTGACACAGAAGGTAAGTGTTGTAGGAGGGGCGTGTAATGAATTCTGCCTCAGCTGTGCAGGTTTAGGTTGCTGTTTTCGTCCTTGGTGCTCACTTGCTGCTGGGGATCTTGGGTAACATGTGTGAGGGCGATGGGCCATGGGACTCTTGATAATATGAACTGGGCTGGACTTTTGCAGGTCAGTAGGTCAAAAGCAATACAGGGATTATCCAGTTATCCAGTTGTCAATTCATTTAATTCAGTGTTAAAAAGGCATATAAATCTTTAAAAAACATGGTCAAATAGCTTTAAGACATATCTGATTGCTGTCTCATTTTTTCTGATCAAGTTAAAGTCAATAACTGTAATTTTTTCTTATATTGTATAACCTGAATATTATCTTCTTCTTCTTAGATATGAAAAGAAAAACAGATGACTGGTACATTTGATAAAATAAGCAAAAAATATTTGCACTGTACAAATGAATTGTTCTTTTGTTATGCCAAGTATGTGCTTTGCTATTTGCTTTTTGTTGTTTGTATATTTACGAGAGAGTAATTGGTTGAAGATAAGAGAGGGGCCTCAGATTACCTTCATTGTGCTGCTGCCTGCTTTTCCTAAAAGAGCTCACTGAGGCATTACGTCTAAACCTTATCACCACCAGGGAAAACCTCTAGACTCTGTCAGTCTCAAGTGCAGCAGAAAGAGAGTCAAATCATAACCAAAATCAGAGAGGTGCTTTAAAAACGGCTCACACTTTGTTTCTTTCCTGTCAGAATATGCTGGTTGTGCTCCATCTCCGGCAGATCATGTGTGATTCTTCTGTCTGGTTTTCCATCCCAGAGGAACAGGAGCCTGGTGTTCTGGCTGGGTCACTCAGTAAACACTTTCCACCACCTTACCAGCTCCTGACCCAGGAGTATCTGTGGATGGACAAAAACACAGGGAATTTCTACACGACTGACCAAAAGATGGATCGTGAGGCCCTCTGCCCCGAGGAGACAAAGGCTGAGGAATGCATTATTTTACACAATGCTGTAGTGGGGCCCTCAGGAGACCTTATACAGTTCCCTGTGATCATAGAGGATATCAATGACAATGCACCTCAGTTTGAAAATGGTGAAATACACCTGAGGGTGCCTGAGGATGTCAATGTGGGGACCAGCTTCTTACTGGATGAGCAAGCTAAGGACAGAGATGTTGGATATAACAGTGAGCTACATTACCACCTGGAAGATTCTGATGGAGTTTTTAGTTTAAAGTTTGAGGAAGACGGCTCTATCATCATGCTGATTGTGCAATCATCTCTGGATAGGGAGACTAGGGACCTGTATCGGATGGTGCTTGTAGCCTCCGACTGCGGCTTGGACCCTTTAAGTGCTACAGCAACTTTAATAGTCACAGTGACAGATGTTAATGACAACTGTCCTAGCTTTAGCCCCGACAGCCCCCGCAGTGTCTCCATCCCCGGAGATTCTTTGAAGAACACACTGATTGCCCAGGTCAGAGCCACAGACCCAGATTCAGGCGTGAATGCTGCAATCCTGTACTCCCTCAGTCCCAAAGTCTCAGAGCGGGCCAAGAAGCTCTTTAGCCTTGACAGCCTCACTGGGTACATCCGACTAACACAGGACCTCCAAAGTGACAACCTGGAGGAGCTGCTGCTGAAAGTGCTAGCAAGCAGCCACCACTGCGCACCAGCAGACACTCAGGTAACCGTATACGTGCTCCCCAAGGTGCACCAAGAGCTGACGATCAAGATCGGGTTCATAGAGGAGCATCAAAACCAGACTCTGGTGTTACAAGAGAACCAGCCCCCCACTGTCTTAGCTGTTTTAGAGCTGGAGGCTGACAGCAGCTTTAAAAGCTCATCTCTTTCCATTGAGGGTGAGGTGCCTTTCACTTTGAACCCACAGAATGATAAATATCTGCTTTCCACATCAAAGCCCCTTGACTATGAGATGAAAAGAGAACATTATATTACTGTGGTAGCGCATGGGAGATCAGCCGAAGGACCTGTGATGGCTGCCTCCAGGCGTGTGATCAGGGTGATGGTGGCAGATGTCAATGATAACGCTCCACAATTCCTCCAGTCTCAGTATCAGCTGGAGGTGGAGGAAAATAACCAGCAAGGGATGTCACTGCTACAGGTCTTGGCTTCAGATGCAGACAGCGGACGCAATGGGAGGGTGACCTACAGGCTGAACAAACACATACCTACCATCTTTAACATTGACTCGGTGACCGGTCAACTGTCTGTGTCCGCCTCTCTGGACAGGGAGCAGCAGGGTGAACACACACTTACTGTATTTGCACGAGATAGCGGCTCTCCTCCCTTGGAGTCAGCAGCAACAATATCCATTTGTGTTCTGGATCAGAATGACAATGCACCTGTGTTTCTTACACCTCACTTCATCTTTTTCATCTATGAGAATGTTGCACCGTTTGCCCTGGTGGGAGATGTGGGGGCGACTGATCCAGATGAAGGGGAAAATGGGAACATAGAGTTGCATGTTGTTAACAGCAGTGGACCTTTTGTTGTGGATAACACTCAGGGAATGCTACGCACCACCACAAACTTGGACCGCGAGACACAGGACCGCTTTGAACTCTACCTGCTGGCCAGCGATCATGGCCATCCGGTCACTATGACGTCCACTGCCAGGGTGACAATATTTGTGGAAGACATCAATGACAACCGGCCAAAAGTGGTTCTTCCCAGCAGCAACTTCTCATGCCTGACTATTTCTCCAGCAACCATCGCAGGCACCATGGTTACAAAAATCTACGCCATCGATGAGGACTCAGGGCTAAATTCTGAGATTACGTACACTGTTGTAGCACCAGAAACAGTGCAAAAGAACAGCCCATTCCAGATCGATTCAAGGTCAGGGAACATCAGTGTAATGCAGCAACTTCAATTGAAGGACCTGGGTATGCATCACCTGTTCATTGTGGTCAGAGATGGAGGAAAACCAGCTCCACTTTACACCACCGTGTGGGTTAATTTACTGGTCAATGAGAGCATGGAGCCCTGCCACTTGGACAGAGCGCCCACCTGGACAGGGACACCTAAGTTTGGTCAAGCCCCCTCAAAGGCCCCCATCTGTGAGGCAGAGGACCCCAGATCAGGTCAGCTGGCTCTGTTAGTAGGCCTGTGTATGATGCTAACATCCACATGTTTGCTGGTGGTGTCGACTGTTTTATACCTGAAACGGAGGAGAAGCAGTCTGAGACGGAAGAAGAGAGCACCCTCTGAGAAGAATGAGATTCCACTTAGACTCAAAAACAAATATTTCTCTGAAGACTAACAAGATGAAGCGAGCAGAGTGTATAATCCTCACTCACACAGTTTCAAATGGATGAAATCAGCCCCTGAATTAAACAGGAGTATTTGTCAAAGGCTTCTTGCAATAATCATATCTGTTAAATTATTCTGATACAGTGTACTCAACATGTGTCAAGAGTAATTCTGCAAAACAATGTCGAAATAATGTTGACCCAATAACCTATAAGCTACCAGGGATGCATACAATTTGATCTGATAAGAAGTATTTGATATTATCAGGAGAGTTGTTTCCATTGTATTCCACACATATGATATATGCAGTATTACAGCATGCCATAACAAGGGACTGCTAAAATACCAACATCACAGTGTTAATCTTTAGGGATTATTCTCCTTGACCCCTGCAGCGAGAAGAAGACAGGGGTAATGGCTGCTGAGTTGATTGGGCCTTCCTCAGTAATGGGGAGTCTAAAGCATTTAGACACACAAAAGGGTTTAATGTTCCTCCAGTGGGGAGGCGATGAAAGTCTCTCAAGAAGCAGCAGGAGGCGGGAGAGTGGCTGTGGACAGGTGAGAGGCGGCAGAGGGAAGGAACACCGCCGTCTCAAGTCACTGCTTCACACCTGTTATCCGATAGCGTTGCTTTTCACCCACGATGCTGGATGGCACCCAAAAGGCAGGGGGAAAAGAGGAGCTACTGTACTGCACAAAGTAACCCAACAGGCTTGTTGTTCCGATGACAGATGTTCAGAGGGATATCACACTGTGTTCAAAGAAATCTTTACAAAAGGCAGTTGCTCTCGTGTTACAGATACATTTGTATGCATGCAGGGGAACGGTTGAGATATCAAACCAGGTTAAGTGATGCATTAAGTATGAATGAGTCAGGGTAAAATGTGTTTACAAATCTGTTAACACACAATTACACAAGGAGACTAGGCTAATTGTTTTAGCTTTGAGTTGCTTTTTTTTTTTTTTTTTACTTTAATGATATCATAAACTGTTGAGTGATCAATTTAAGATACACCTTTGTTAGAGGAAGGAGGAGAGCCAGCAGCCTGAGCCTGTAAAAAAAACCATGTACAACAACCTGGTTAGTGCAGAACAAGGCTTGTATAACATGAGAGGTGTTTCTCTAGAGGATTTCAGAGCTACCGACTAGAAAAAAACCATCTAATATAGTTGTACTGTGAGGTAAGGTACACTAGCTAAGAGGGAATAAAGAGCCCCATAACAAAATTACAAATTAAAGAAGGAACATCAGATCCCATTAGATTACAACGTTGACAAAGTAATATTAAAGCAGGACTAATGTGGGTTAAATGCAACATTTTGACCGGGTTGACGATCCATGACAATCCCACATTCTTAACAAACTAAAAAGGCACCATGTTTAGTGATTTTCTTTTCTAAAGTCAGTGTTTTTTTTGGTATAAAACGCCTCATGCCTGCCACTGTGCGAGTGCTGTGGCAGTAGAAAGCCTGCCATCTGCTGGGCAAAGATGAAGCCAAGCATCTTTTTATCTGGTATTTGGCCAGAGGGTGGAGATGAATCAGAGGACGGTCTCTCACTCCACCACAGTCAGGTCGACTGAGATCAGTGATGCTTCCCTGCTGCATGCTGCTCTGTTCCACTCAAAGTACATCTCATTTTCCACATTTTTTTCCACAAGCTAAACGTTTGTGGGTAAAAGGGTTGAATTAACCAACAGGAACAAAGACTCAGCCTGCACTGACCTAAAGTACCCACTGGAATATTCTTGAGATACAAATGAGGGCATTTCTTATTAATCCTGTATAATTAAAATACAAGTGATGCTTTTCTTATCAAAGGAACTTGTGTATTGAGTAGTTTGCAGCCCAAAAGGCACAAACTGAAAGTCGCTTTATCACTATTCATGCTCTGTTAAAACCACTTAAAAATTGCTTGACTAAAGATTAAGTGGATATATAAAAACATTAAATTGAATTAATAAAGCGCCAAAGAAAAACAAAAGTTGTCTTGTTACACTATATGAATAACCAGCACTGAAGAAAAACCTTCTTTTAGCAGGTAGAGGCCTGACCAGAACCAGACTCATTGGTGAACAGCTATCTGCAATGATGGGCAGATAAATGATAAATTCCCAGAACAGATTAAGTTTTACTTTTTAATAACAGCCGGTCCCTTTTTTTTTCTAATTTTATTCAGATCGCCTTTACTGGCCATGGACAAACAGAAGTCATCATTACAAACATCTTCTGCATGATGTATGAGCTGTTCCTCATTTGGTTTTATCATCATGTTGTCATTAATAGAGAAGGCCCTTGTTAAACCACAGACTGCATGCCCTAGAGATTTGATGGTCAACTAACAGAAGAGGAAAACATGTTTCAACAATGAAACTAAGTGTTCTTCTGTTTCTGCACAGCAAGTTGCTTCTTATATATGCAAATATTCATCAACAATGAACTAATGAAATTTCAGCAAGCGTAAGAAACTTGACCTCCTCATTTTTCTCCGCCTTTAAGTTCATTGAAAGGCGACATTGTTTCTTTAAGATTGCTCTTGCAGCCATCAGCGGCTCTGTGCATTGTTGTGGGAACAGAAAGCGAGTTGAGATTGATATACGGGGGCCGAAGACTAGTTGCGCATATCATCATCAGAACAGCTGCAGAGCAGACAGCAGCAGCAGCAGTAGGCTAATCAACGAAGTCCTGAACGCATCCTTCTAGACATGGGTAAGAAACTCCAGCCATTAGAATATTTACCTTTAATAGCCTTTAACAGACCGGATACTTCGTTTTAACAAATCTGTTTTTTTTATTATGTGAGAGCAGGCTGTTATGAATGAGACTGTGAAAGGGCATCAGAACTTATTAAGTTTTTTTTTTTGTCACTTTAGAGGTCGGCTACTCACCGGCTGATGCTTCACAGATATTATGAGATTTATTTCATGCTTGAAATGGCAGGACTGCTTTCAGAGCAGCCTTGTCGCATTTGCTTTCGGTCGCAATCTTTCTCCATCTTTAAAGAGTCGAACTTGGCCTCGGCTTTGCATTTTTCACCATAACGAGGACTGTATTTTTTATTGTAGCCAAGTCTCAAAGCGAGGGACCGTGAGCAACTTGGGTTCCTCAGCTGTTAGCTTAGGCCGGTGATGTCATTAATTAGCTCAATTGTACCAGGTGTGTCTGAAGGCACGCGAATAGAAATTAAAGATACACCGCTACGAAAAGCTAAAACTCTGGTGCAAAAACAATAAGCCTATAGCCTATGCATATTTATTTTTCACGTTTTGCATAATTGAGTCATAATGGTACTACTTATTATTATTTTGTTGCTTATATAAATATTTGTAATTTATTGTAATATTTTATCTTTCAAATTTCCTCCTTCACGGCACAGTTGTTAGCAGTCTGCATAGGCTAATAGTGAGCACAGTTTGTCCCTCTCCCTTCCACACATACACACATGTAGATGTGTTCAATTAAAGGGCCATTATTTGCCCCCCCCCCCTTCCATCTGTGTTTACTGTAATGGTACCAATCACAGTCTGTCTGCTTCCATTGTGTGTGTGTGCATGTTTGTGTGGATGCAGGCATGCAAGTGTGCAATGGCATACATGCACACTGTTTTGTTTGTTTCTATATTTGCCTCTCCATCCTCTTCTACACAGACAGATCCCCACTGTCACTTTCTTCGTTCCTGAGTCTCCCCATAAGGAAGTGTGCGTGTGCGTGCGTGCGTGCGTGTGCGTGTGCGTGTGTGTGTGTGCGTGTGTAAGCATAGAGGTGCCTCTGGTCTTTGTTTGCTTGACATTGGTGGCCCTTGTACCCCCATGATGCTGTGGGACAAAGACTGTTGTCTCTGCAGTCACAAAAGCAGCCTCTCTCTCTCTTTCACTTTGTCTCTTCTCTCCTCCTTCCCCCTTTTTCTCACACTCTGCATGCTGGGTGCTGAATGGAGGCAGGGTGCGAGTGGGGGTCAGAGCAGACACATCCCCATGCCCTTGGCCCTTGGCATCCATTCAAACAGCACATGACCATTTGTTAGAATGCACTGCTTTACTGAAGGAGCGAAAGTGTTTGCCACGGCAGAAGAATCTTCAGAGACAAAGTATAAGCTTTTGTTAAAGGGGGGGTCTGGATCAAATGTTTCAAAATATGTCATCTTAATGAAGATAGTTTCAGTATTATATGCAGATCTTTTTTCTTCCCTTTCCATGATTTCTCCCTCCTGCTAAATTCAGTGGAATTGAATGTGAAAACAGACAATGATGTTCCAGACAACTCAGATAATCTGCCAGCCTCATTGTGCACTTCTTTCATTTGCACTACTTTCACAAACGATGACAGCATGGCCTTGGAATGATCCAACAATGCAAAGAAGCTTGTTCTTTCTCAAGATTTAGGATGAAGAAGGACTGTTTGCACACGTCCATTTCAATTTATGAAAGTATAAAAAAAAAGAGATTCTCACTTTTCCAGAAAGCAGCTAGCTTACATTCCTACTTTGCATTACTTGTCTAGAAACATCGCTCCTCTTCTTTTCTGTCTGCCATACTGCATCAGTTAAATATGTTCCCTGACTTTCATGGTGCTGTGTCCTCATAAACAGGTTGCTATGACTGCTGTATGCGCTGTTTGGGTGGGGTGCCATACTGCTCCCTCGTCGCCACACTGCTGTGTTTCTCTGGCATTGCCCTCTTCTGCGGCTGTGGTCACCAGGCACTCACAGAGACAGAGAGACTCATCGAGACTTACTTTGCCCGGAACCTTCAGGACTACATCACCCTTGCATTCATGTGAGTGTTAAATTTAAGCATCTCCCACATTAGAGTGACATCTTTTTAATCTTGCCGTTTATCAGAGGGGTTTGGTTCTTTGCAACCCTGAATTTTCCCTGTTGTCATCCTTCCTTTCAGCATTCAGTATTTCCAGTATTTCATCTATGGTTTGGCCACCTTTTTCTTCGTCTACTGCATCGTGCTGTTGGCTGAGGGCTTCTACACCACGAGCGCTGCCAAGCAAACCTTTGGAGAGTTCAGGAGCACCATGTGTGGCCGCTGCCTCAGCTCCTCGGTGAGAGGGCCCAGAGTGGGACAAGTAAAGGGGATTGGAGAGATTGGATGGGATTAATACACATATCACTCCCTAGTGGGTGCTGAGCTGAAAATCTTAAAGCTGCTAAAAACCTTTGGGGACATGCAAAGATAAGCATACAGTGTGTGTTTGAGCGGATGGAGAACAAGCTGAGTGGTTGGAAGACTAGGAAAAGAACATAGAGTGAGATAATAAGTAAAGCTAATCAGGCAAAAAAAAAAAGTACATTTGGTCACTTAGTGAGTCAGTGCTCATAAAAAAAGAAACTCTCTTACATTACTTATGTGCATTCATTTATTTCACGATTACGTGCACTAATGTTTCATCTTCTCTTCTCATTGTACAGTTTATAGTGATGACATATGTGTTAGCTGTGCTGTGGCTGTTGGTGTTCGCCTTCTCAGCCCTGCCTGTCTACTTCTTCTACAACATGGACGCCACCTGCCACACTATTGATGTTCTGACTGAGACCCCAGCAAGTATCAACCAGCTCTGTGTGGATGCAAGGCAATACGGTAACGAGACATATGAGTCTTAGTCTTGTGGTAACTGTAACTGTATGACTATTAAAAGCTGTCTGAATTATTTCTATTGCCACTGACCTCCAGTTTCATCCAAAATCTATTAACAGGACTAGTTGCATATCATAAAAAGCTTTACCTATAAGCAAATATACTAACATGCCTACAATGGCAATGCTAAAGTTGAGTGTTTTTTTTCTACCATATCTAGCCTCTACTTGCACTACTGTGTTAGCATGCTGTTTCTAGCTAATAAAAAGCACCAAACACAAGGTGCATCCAAAGCTTGGAGGTCATGGTAAGCCAATAGTTTTCAAGATGACTGGCCTGAAATTGGAAAATATTGTTCAAATGAAAAACGCTGACCTGCAGATAGTGCTATAAAGTGTCAGTGGACCACAAAAGATATCAAATTTCCTCTTCTGAGGAAAATCTATGTTTTTAACAAATCTTATGGCAAACCCTCGAAATGATGCATACAGCTCACCACAAATGACAACCTCACTCGAAGAAAAAAGTCAGACGACCATCAAATCCATTAAAATGTATCTTTTAATGATCCTTACAAATGTTTTGCAACCCTGTCAGTAGTAATATTTCAGACTAAATCCAATGAGCCTCAGAGCCCTGAAAGGTGATAAAAAACATGACAGCCCAACTGTCACTGGGTGACATCATCCTTTGCTAAACATAGGAACTGTGTTTTGTGAGATAACCAATGTACTTTGTCCTGATGATGTAAATGTAATGATCTCCAGCTGCAACAAGTGCACTATTTCCTAGGGTTATGGTATTGTTTGCTTAAACTGGCTGTGTCCAGATGTTTTGGGAAATGATATATCCCATTATAGAAATGAACAAATACATTTGTGACCTTTAATTATTAAAGATTCATCAGTTCAATGATAACCACAGGGCTTTGAGTGCCACAGACAAGCTATGGAAGTCAGAAAACATTGAGAAATGACCAACATGTTGCTGGTTTTGGTAATTTTATGGAATTTCTGGATAATGTCAAAAAATATTCAATTGTTGCATCTTTACCCTTTAGTTTTGTCTGTAAATACAAACTCAAATTAAATACAGAAATGCATCTTTTCTAGGTCTCCTGCCATGGAATGCAGTGCCAGGGAAAGCTTGTGGTATAACCCTATCTGGTGTTTGTAAGACCAGAGAGGTAAGTAACAATAACTGATTCAAGCTCAGCTATCATGTTTTTGCTTGAAATGAAATGAAAACATGTTATCTCCATTAATGCAAATCTCCTCCCATCAGTACCGGATGACTTATGACCTCTACATTGCTGCCTTTGCTGGCGCGGGCATCACTCTCCTGGCTCTGGTAAGTGATTATGCTTCAGCTGGGGCCAATTTGGCTGCACCAACAATAGTGTTATGGCTCATGTGACTTAGTGACGCTCAAAGTGTAGGCGGCGAGGCATCCCAAGCCTCCATGACTGATGACTTTTGTACTATTGCTCTCTGTTCCTCATTCTCAGCTGACACAAACATCATAATAATGCTGTAATGTCTGGTGGTTTTCCAGCCAGCCAAATGGTGCACCCATTATACTTTGCATGCTCCATTACAGAAGCTGTTATATGGATGGTATCTGCTATCAAATTAATGTCATAAGCGCTTTATCATGTTTTTTTCCTATTTGTGGTGTCATTTTTCTTCTTTTCATTTCTGTTCTGATGCTTTCTGTCTCTCCTTTTCTCTTCATAGCTCACCTACACTGTGTCAACCACCTATAACTTTGCTGTTCTGCGGTATCTGGGGAGAAAGGGTATAAGTGCACGGTGTTAGGCTCACCTGCTTCCTGTCTGATCTGTCACTCCTCCACCAACAACATGGGGATCTAAATGGACTCCAACAATTCTTTCCACATCATCAGCACAGAGCCACGTGTTGTCACAGACTCTTAAAAATGTTGTCTTTTATATTTTTACTTTTCTTGTTGAGAACTGATATATTATTTTACTGTTTTAACTGTATTATATGTATCTGAGGTTTGAACCAAAACCCTTTATTGTCAAAGCCTTATGACCAAAATCTGAGAGTTACTGCTCTTTATTTTCTCACATTAGTCAAAAACACCTTCTGCTTTATGTAACGTTAAAAATCCAAATAACACACCACTAATACATTAACACTTAGAAATAACCACTCTGCAACACTCACAGCTGTAATGCAGCTGTTACAGGGAATAGGGATTATACGTTACCATGGCTGCCATCCCTCACATCTGGTTGCCATGGTGGCAGACAAGCATGCATTTGCAGTCTCATGCTGACCTCAGGACTTTTCTCACGGGCTTGAGAAAAGTCACAACAATGGAGTCAGGCCTGTTTTTGAAAAGCTAGCCAATAGGGAGCCAGTTGTGGGGGCCACCTGCCCTACGAGTCTCTGCCAAGGGTTATATTACATGTCAAAGGAGAGGGTCCTCAGGACAAAGAGGGGGTCAGACCCAAAGCCTCAATGCAGCTCTTCTGAGACCGCAACCACACACAACATCAGCCACACAACCCCACCCCTGCTGCTGCATGACCCCTCCTCCCTCCTAATATGGAAATGATGTGATGTGAGGATACTGAAGGAGTTTTAAAGGATTTTTCAAAGTGTCTTCCCAAAAAAAGAAACATATTAGGGAAGTTCTGATCTAAAATAGGTCTGAAATTGTTTCTCATAATTTTGAGATAGCTAAAGCACTAGGTGCTAACTTATCGAGTTGCCTCATTATTAAGCCAAAAACACATGAAGGTGTGAGTCTCCCCTGCTGTTAATGCATGGCTGAGGTACTTATTATTATATATTTTTTTAGAGACGGCTTTGTTTTGTCTCTAATTCTTTAGGAATTTTGTTGTAGTTATTGTATAACAACTCCCTTTATTTAGCTGAAATTACTACTATTTTTACACTTTGTGTATGACTTAGATTTTAATTAGAATTTTCTATTTGGTGGAAGCTTTATGGAGCTGTGAGAGGTAGTTTTGGTTGTTTGATGATTATTTTTTTGTGTTGGTAAAGTTTGATAATAAAAAGAATATTCTTTAGAAGTATTTGTGCAGAGTGCCTCTGAATATATTTGTAGTCTGTGAAGGTGCAGCGTCTGGTGGTGTCAGTGTTTAACTGGTGCTCCAACCTTGGCGTCCTACCACATCCAGGGGCCAAGGTATTTTGTAAGGTGTTTTGTATTCTCTCCTCTTATGTCCACAGGTGCAATGTTCCCTGCAATTGGCTTTGAACCAGGTGAAGCTGAGGCACAGGTTGAAAGAGGAGAGGAGAGGCTACGACCTGTATGGGAGGCTGCATAGAGACAGAGGGGGGACACTGTGCTCTCCGTACCCTGCAAACACGTCTGACACCTCTTGACACAGCCTCCGGTGCTGCTGCAGGAGCTCTTTTCAACAAAGTCCATCACAACTGAGCCACCTATCATCAAAATGCTACTTCTATGAAGTACTGGAATCTTTTGATTCATCTTGGTAGTTAAATTGTGACTCTTCATTAGTGCTTTAATTTGAATTTAGGTTACTGCATGTCACATTTAAAGTTATAAAATGTTATAATGCTGGCAGAAGAAATGCATTTTTTTATTGAGCCATTACATTTCAATACTTTCTGCCTATTTCCTTTTTTCGGCATTTGACCATTTACTATAGAATGTGTGCTTTCTATAATTCCATTCAAAATATGTAGTTTGAGAGGCAGATCTAATGAAATTGTATTTATTTAACCCTAACCCTTATTTCACAGTATGCTGTGCATGCTTAGTATCTCTTTTAATGAAGAGGAAATAAACCATCTTCTCTAGCTCTCAGGTTCCCACACATACTTGGTCATTCAAAGACATTCAAGGTCTTGTGTGATGAAATTCAAGAGTTTTGCATTTTGGGTCCTTGCTCGGGATTAGTCATGCTTCATTTCACTGCAAACACTGAAAAACTTTTCTTTCTTTTTTTTCCTGATGGTGAAAATGACTGCAGATAGGTAGAAAGCTAAAGTATTCGGATTACTCGGGAGTGACCTATTTTAGTTTTAAAAATAGTTTCGGAGCTTTGGTTTTTCAATCGTTAAGCAAACAATTAAAGTTGATATAAAGCCACACACTTTCATGAGTTTTCAAAGCGTGAGCATAAAGACCACAGACATGATAAGAGTCGCTGTTTGGTTTGTTGCATGTTTTATTAGTAGCCAAGCACTGGAGAGTATGTACCACTTTGCCAGCATGTTGGCACACCCAGTCTTATTCTCCGCAGTGCAAAAAAAAAAAAAAAAGGATTTCTCCATTAGATCAACACATAATCAGGATGAACAGTCTAGCTTTCACACGGCTTTAATCACACTGATGAGTTTGAGCACTGAGAGTGAAGCAGACGTTCAGTGTCATTTTCTACTAAATAAAAGCAATGTACATAAGCCATTAATATGGACAGCCCAAAGAAACGTGTTTTTACATTCATAAATATTACAGAAACAATGAACAAAATACTGATATTAGACTGGGTTGCAGTGATTATAAGACAGCATCATGTTAGCAACATACTGCAGGGTTATGCTACCATCGTTTAAGTACCCTCTGGTTCTCAGGTGAGTTACATTTTAGGTAAACCGTCTGATAGGCTACATTACAAGAATAAGATAAAAACAAACGGTACAGAAAGTTGATTAATCCAGATATTATCAATGCTGACAAATAAACTAACAGCCCTCATATTAGCTTTGAATTAATGTAGGATACCAGCTTGATTTTGATCAAATGCCCTACTCCCTTCACAGTTAGTACAGATTCTCTCAAAAGTACTCAGCCCACCTGGTAAACTTGAACACTAATCGTATAGATTGATTGGAAGCATTTTATAAACCAAAAGAACCATGTTAATAAAGTAAATATAAATGTACCTGATTTCTTTTGGTTTAGTTTCACAGTGAAGCTCCTGTTATATTCACCATTGGTCTGCACATACGCTGAGTAGAACACATACTTTGAATTTAAAGGCATAAATAGTGATCCCCAGCTAAGGGAATACAAACTATTTCCAACATACAGACCATAGCATTAAGTTTGAACCATAAAGACTTTGTGCAATCAGAATTTAAATTAACTTATTTATCAAGCAGGCATGGACGTTTTGATAATAAACTCCAGAAGCAATCTAAAATCTGATGTGAATTATTTTTTCTTTTACATTTCTTACCTCAGTTTGAATCATTGAATTTCAGACATTATTTTCTCGAACCATCCAGGCGAACAACAATGCCCCCTGGCTGATAACAGTAATACATTGTAATGTTTTTCAATGACAAAAACACTGAAAGAAAAACGTACCATCCAGCTGAAACAAACATTGTTAAGTTCTCAGAATACTCTGTTGTATGTTTCCTTCGACACTGCATAAACGGAGAGGAGAGGTGATGCACAATGCACACATTAGTAGTCCTAACAGCCGTATCCTTGTGCTCAGACTATTTCATATTCAGCTGAGACCAAGAGTGGAGCAGACTGACGGCACAAGGCGCATGTAATATACCAGTCAAGCAGAGGAGGATAACAATGAAACGGAACAAGTGAAGGACTGGAATGTTAAGGCCTTTAAACTACATGTATGACATAATTATAAAAATGACTGTTAATTGAAATTGTTTAAAAAAAAAAAACCCTCTTACATCAGAAAACAGACTTAAATCAGCCCTTGATCTAACAATTAATCTCACTCTTTCAGTATGAAAAGAAAACCCAGCATGTTTGGTGAAGAAAACATGCTTCACAAAAAAAAAACAGCAGCATATCAATGAGAATTGCAAAAGCAGTATTACTTTTTAAACTTCAAGGACCTTCTTAACTCAGTAAACAGATCAATAGACATAAATCATTGGAAATTAAAATGATCAGATAATACTTCAATAGTAAACATGACATCTCCTGCTACCGAGCAGTGCGGTGAGAACGGATTTAACAAAATAAAATCACCACAATAGCTTGTACCAATGCATACAGTCAGATCAGCAAAATTAAAGCTTTCCCTTTATATCCCAAAAAAAATCATTGTTGTCTCCCTTTTGAATGCAGAAATCATTTAACTTGTATGGTCATCTTAAAGCCCCTTTTCCACCAAGCAGTCAGGTTCAGTTCGGTTCGGTTCACATTTATTGATGTTTCCACTTTCAAAAATAGCTGATCTGTACCGTCCTACTTTTTTTGGTAGCCTTCTGTTGGTGTGCCAAGCGTACCGATACGACCCTAAATGTTGGCGCAAGACACACTGCAGTCCATTGATTGGTTGAAAGAATCTTCACTTCCTGTGCCGCAGCGGTAATAAATGACAAACACAAAACGCACCATGTTTAAAAGTCCTGTGGTTTGGAGAGAGTCAATTCAAGGCTGTCTTTGGGACCAATGTCAACGCGTAGCTCTGCCCAATGGACGACCTCGGAGGTGCAGACCTTCCAAGGAATCATTGATCTTTATTTACTGTGCGTTCTTCTTCTTTGTTGAATTTATTGGCTGTCTACACTTTGTCACGCCGCTTTGATTGAGTGATGTGTAAAGGTACGGTTGGCTGTGGAAACGCAAGCAAGATCAGATTTACCTTATCAAGCCGTACCAAAGTGCACTGAACCAAACCTGACCGCTTGCTGGAAACGGGGCTGTACTGACGCTGGAAATTTCAAAGCGTCTCTAATCTTTCCGGGGTTGGTAACACCGTCACTCACAGAAACCCTCTGGGTCCAGAAAATACATTAACTCTCCACTTCTGCTCAAATATCTGATAAGAGGAAGATGTGATGTTGTATTCAAAGTGGCTCTAAAACCTGGGGAAAATCTGTTCATGGCCAGAGTGTTGAGGAGTACAACTGTACGCCGCAGTGCCAGAATGTAAAGTGTGCTATTTAAGCGAGGATCATTAAATTCTCTTGTCTACTGTGTTAACTAAAATATGTATTATTTCAAACAGATAAATGCTCTGAAAACACAATTTGATACAACTCCTGCAAATGCAGACAAAGCTGACGCTATGTAAAAAATGTTTACGTGCAACACTACTGAAAGCGGACAGAGTAAAAAAGAATGAGTGTGCCTGTTACAGTGTGCCTGTACCTTTGTAAGAGCAGTCATTTAACAATCTACATAACAGTTGTATCCTTGACCATAGCCCTTTTCAGAGCAGCTGTATCTTATCCATATTATCTTTAGGTGATACTGTGCACAGTGCCTTGCACCTACAGTATGTGTACCATAAACAATATCTTACTGGCCCTGAAAACTGCCATGTGCAAGATTATGCAAGAGAGAAGACAAGGCAGAATTATACCTGACTAATCAGCAGCATGTACGAGGAGTTTTGCGGTTGCCATGTAGATCGATAGTACTACTCAGAAGTGCATGGTCAATCTGGTCCTCAGCAGCCAGAACCTCCCGCACAGCTGCCTCAAATGCAGCTGTGACATTAGTGTCATCCTTTGCACTGGTCTCAAAGTAAGGGCAGCAGCCGTTCTCTTCACACCACGCCCGTGCTTCCTCGGACCCCACCACCCTCTGCTCCATGTCTACCTTATTGCCCAGTACCACAAAAGGGAACCGTTCAGGGTCTTTCACATCCGAGTAGAACATGAATTCCTTCTTCCAGCAGCCAAGGTTTTGGAAGCTCTGCAGGTCGTTCACAGCAAATGTGAGCAGGCAGCAGTCTGCACCTCGGTAGAAGGGCGTGCGCAGGGACTTGAAGCGCTCCTGGCCCGCTGTGTCCCAGATCTGAAGAGTGACAAGGCGCCCATCTACCTCCAGATCCCGGTTCAGGAACTCCACGCCGATGGTGTGAAAGGAGTGGGAGTCAAAGCGGTCTGTAACGTAACGATTCATAAGGGAGGACTTGCCCACACCACCGTCCCCCAGCAGGATCACCTTAAGCAGCAGGCTCTTCCCGCTCGTCATATTTCTTTCCACCCAGCAAGGCCTCCTTACCAGGTGGCAGACCAGGGTCTATATAACCTAGAAAGAGGAAGAAACACAAAACTATATGCACAATCATAAGGGAAATGCAAATCACCTTAGGGCAATAGAAAACGAAATATACTGACCAATGAGAAAACATGTCACACCCAAACCACTGTGACTTTGCTGTTTATTTAGAATAAAAACTTTGGTGAACGCCTGTAGTCCCAGCAACATTTGTAGTCAACCTAAAGTGAACCTTTGTGACACAAGATGAGCGACGTTTAATGGTTGACTAGTTTCGGGGACACAAACTCTGGGTTGAGAACAGAGATGTCTGCCAAAGGTCTCTGGGTGAAGCTATGGGTTTGCTGACAACTGTCCTTTGTTTACTACACGACACAGACACACTGACTCAAACTATTATGCTAACTCTATCACCATAAAAGATATTGGAAACATTGCTGTTACGACAGATTTAACAAGTGAAGTGTAGCGGACACCAAAACAACAGGGGCGAGTCGTAAAGACCACTGCACCTGCGCAGACCACAAACATGCACCAGCTGGAGGATAAACAAAAAATGGTCCCTGCGAAACCGTCCGTGAAGCTATAAAGCAGAAGTTAACCTGGAACCGATACCGGTAACACATTTTAATAAACCAACAAGCATGAGGACAACAACAGCTGAACTGTGATTCTACGTAGCGGCTTAGCAAGCCTCCCAGCCAACAAGCAAGCTAGCCGGCTAGTGTGATGTCTTGTTGACATCCTTGTCATGCTAACCATTAGCTTCAGTGCCGGTGCGATTCTCAGCTGTTTTAAAAAAGGCATTGTCAGCTTCAAAATGAATCAAATGTTTCCAGGAGGTCGTAAATGCATAGGTAAGTGCGTCCTTTTAATATGGAATAAACATGAATAATGACTCACCCTGACCCCTGAAGTTTGTTTTGATGTGATCTGGCCCCCCCCCCAGCTCCCCTACATCTAACTGAGAGGTCGTGACGTGCACAGCACAAACCAGCGCACCCAGCAGCCCGAGGTCCTAAAGCCCGTCGCTTTAATAATGTCAACATAGTGTCAGCTGTGGCTACTTATTTATGGGGCGCCGATTGTAAAGTTGCGCACACTACAAATAACAAAACATTTAGAGTCTTAGCTAAATATTTAGAAGTCGTTGCTAAATATTTACAAGTCGTTGCTAAATATTTACAAGTCGTTGCTAAATATTTAGTTTATATTCTATATATTTAGCTTTGATTATAAATATTTACAATCTTAGCTAAATATACAGGATCAAAGCTAAATATTTAGAATGTAAACTAAATATTTAGAATCAGGACATGTATTTTTAACATTCATATATAACATTTAATATTTAGATAAAACATTCAACATTTAGATATAATATTTAACATTTATATTTTGCCAATGAAATGATCTTACATTTTTATTCAGAAAAGTAAATATGACAAAGTTCACAAGTATTTCTCTAAATGTGAATAAAAAGTGATGTGGAGAAATGTTGTTGTTATTTGTAGTGTTCCCCCCTACACTTATTGTACCTATTAAGTTTAGAACATTTTGAGATGTTTGTAGGTCTGTCACTGAATAGATTTGTTATGAAAAAAAGTAAAGTAGAGGTATCGGATTACATAATCGCTAACATTTACAGGTTCACGTTTGGTAGGCTACATGGTTCGTCTGTACTTGTACTTTAGTAAGATATCTTTCAAATTGTTAGGGATAGAGACGCTGTTTGGTCTTTTTTTCAATTTACTGCAACAGTTGTATAAGGATAGCCTACATGTTTAAAGTTATCAGGTACACACATTTGAACAATTTCAGGACTAAAAGGTAAAGCTAAAACCTTATGTACAATGAGATACATTTCCTATTAGTCATTGGCCCAACATACTTATCCCTTTTTTAATTGTATTTTTTACACCACGTAGAAGAATAAGTTCCTTCCTTTTTCATAATTTACATTTATTATACGGATTTCTTTATCCTCCTCTTCAGGTGTCAGTCAGTTCAACCGTGATATAGAAATGTAAAAACAACTTTCTATATTTTGGACTATGCTTAGAAACTTTCAAGCAATCAATCAATCAAACTTTATTTATATAGCACCTTGCAGATTGCAAATTGCAGTTCAAAGTGCTTAACAAGAGTGCAGAAAAGTTATTGACATAAAGTAGTTTATAAAATCATTGATAAACTCATTGAGAGACTAATGCACACCAATAAGAATTAAAAAAATATGTATAAAAATAAGATAAAATAAAATATGACACATAAAAACAACAAGATATTAGATTAAATACATAAGAGGAAAATATTTAAAATTGTAGTAGGATAAAAAAAGACAATACAGTAATGTTAAGATTTGACTCGAGAGTCACCACAGGTTTTTTTCTTTTATTTTTTGGCCTATACATTATAACTTAACTTAACTCTAAAGATCTTTGTTTGTGTATATGTTTTCTGTAAGTTCTTGGCAGCGTGCACTTAAACAAAACATTTTTTTTTGCAACAAAGTAATTCAGGGTCAGTCAGATTAAGCGCACATGTTGTAACCTAGACGTTTAGAGGAGTAGTAAGCACTGTTTGCCTTTAGGTGGCAGTTTACATCTCAGGTTGGTTTGCTTCACCGAAGAAGAAGAAAAGTAGAAGCGTAGAAGAAGAATACAGCTGTTATTATTCCCACAGTACCGTTGGCTCTTATTTTCCAGACAGCATCTTATAAACACAACACTTGAGAATCAACTCGCTCGGGGCTGCCGGTATCACTTTGGTTTTTTCCAATCAAGAAAACCGCACCTTCATGTGTTTGCTGCAGGCTTCATGGTAGGAAACACTGTAAATGTCTCGATTGTGGAGCTTGCCCAAAGCAACTGACACGTATGGCTGAAATATTTGACTCAGTTTCTTGTTTGCACAGATGAGTTTGTTGCAGGAGATGCACTTTCATGAAGGTTATGAGAAATAAAACATGGTTTCATTTGCAGGTCTGAAGAATCATTAGAGAGAAAGGAAAGCCAGTTGTTTTTACTTTTGAATGTTGACATACGTGCATCTAAATAATTCGTCTTTAAATTCTTGTTTTGCCCTGTCTCATCCTTCTTGCAGATGGCAGGCAGGGGCAGGCTGGTGCCCTGTATGTGTCTGGGGCTGTTTGGTGTCCTGTGCTGGGTTTGGGTCTCCTTTGCCTCCTTTCCAGACGAGCAGCTTCCCCTCGAGGCCTTGGATGCAGTGGACCGAGCAGCCTTTCAGCCCCAGAGTGCTCTATCAGAGGTGCACTTTGCCTCCATCAGCTCATACGCAGGACCTGGCAACACTGACCGCCGCAGCAACAAAGAACTACCCATTCTCCTCTGGTGGAGTGGAGGATTGTTCCCACATTTTCCTGGTGACACTGAACGCATCGACTGTGGGACATCCTCCTGCCTGGTGACAAGCAACCGCAAGGTATCACAGATATTTAACCTTGGATAGGGAGGAGTGAAGATCCTCACATTTATATCAGTTATTATTTGTAGTTGTACCGACAGTAATCTTGTGTTTGATCTTGAAAGGTCCAGCTGTACAAACGGACGGCATCCATCATCTTTTATGGAACAGACTTCAGGCCGTATGAGGCTCCGCTCCCACGTCTCCGCCACCAGACCTGGGCACTGTTCCATGAAGAGTCACCCATGAATAACTACTTCCTCTCCCATGGCCCCGGAATAAGGCTGTTTAACTACACAGCCACGTTTCGTCGGGAGTCAGACTATCCATTGACCCTGCAGTGGCTGCCCTCTCTGGACTATCTGCTGGCGCCCGTGACAGTGTCTCTGGATGAGAAGAACCGGCTGAGGAAAGAGGGCCTGGCTCCTGTGCTCTACATGCAGTCTCACTGCGATGTGCCGTCGGACAGAAACAGATACGTCCAGGAGCTCATGAAGTACATTCAGGTAAAGAGTAGAGAGGTGTCCTTTCAAAGTTGCATGATTATTGAGCTACTTAAGAGGCTGGAGGAATTTTAGCTGCACAGCCAACATGTGTGCTGTAAATGAAATGTAAAGAATCCAGTTTTGCAGATGTTGGTAAAGTTAGTGCATCTTTTTGATCTAAGGATAAAAATGTTTGAAAGAGGAAATGCTTTTACCTCCATACTGACACTGCTGTGAGCTGCCATAAAAAATAAAAATGCTGCTGTGCTGTGTGACTTATAGATCTAATTTATCTTAATTTTTACATTTACATTATTGGAGGAAGGGGATGTGATGTGTGCCTGAATATCCCAAAAAGTATCTATATGATTTGCCTCGTATCCTATTCTGTAAAAATATCATTTTCAATTTCTTCTCTATTTTTCATCCAACCATAGCAATTCTATTCAGTCATTACAAATTGGCTCATATGACCGGTACTTAACATTAAGTAACCAGTCAAACATGTACACAAGGGTTAGCTAATCTTCACACGTGACATCAATAACACCTCTGTTGAAGGATTGTAAATGTGTGATGGTTGTGAAGCCTAAGTAGGGAGGGAATAAGAGAGTCTAATAAGAGATTCATGAGAACATACAGACCATTAAAAATGTGTTAGTTTGACATAGTCAGAAGCATAATGGTCTCTAATTGTGCCCCACCTTTTTTTTTCTTCTTCCCCACACTTTTGTTCCTCTGTGTAGGTGGACTCTTATGGGAAATGCCTGAACAACAAACCTCTGCCTGAACATCTGCAGGACACGTCCACAGCTACCGGCGAAGACCGCAGCTTCATGACTTTTGTGTCCCGTTACAAGTTTCACCTAGCTCTGGAGAACGGCCTGTGTCCAGATTACATGACAGAGAAGCTGTGGCGGCCCCTCCATCAGGGCTGCGTGCCCGTCTATAAAGGCTCGTCTGTGGTGGCAGACTGGATGCCTAACGACCACTCCGCGATTATCATCAATAACTTCCCCTCGCCCAAAGCTCTCGCTGACTTTCTCAAACATCTGGATGAAAATGATGATGAATATGCAAAATACATAGAGTTTAAGAACTTCAAAAGCATTACCAACGCTCGTCTGCTGGAGGCTCTGGAGACCCGAGAGTGGGGGGTTAATGACATGAGTAAACCAAACTACCTGAATGGATTTGAATGTCATGTGTGTGATCAGGAGAATGCAAGATTGGCAGCAGAACGAGCGTATAAGAGAGCACCTACAAAGAACAAACCACCTCAGCCAAAAATGGCCAACAACTCTCACATGGGGTGCCCCCTGCCGCGCCCGGGGTACGGAGATGTCAAAGACTTACCTGCAGATGATGAGTGAGTTAGTCTAGAATATTTCTCCGTGCCCAAAGCTTCTACCTTATGCATTTTAATGTATATGACAGTGTCCCTAGGGGTGGAGAAATTAGCCTGTTTTAATGGTCTAATTAAAACGTCCTCCATCATGAGCCTAATCTGTTTATATATCTCTCTGCAGATGGTTGCAAATATGGCCGCAGGATTACTGGCAGAGCCTGGACCAAGCGGAGGGGCTGGAGTCTCTGATAAGACATAACGAGTCGGACCCTTCGCTCCTGTGGAAACACATCCAAAGCATTGCTGTGAGCAGAGCCAGGGGAAAACACTGACACAGGCCTTGAAACAAACAGAGGATGGAGCACGTCCAGGATAACCGGGGTGTCCCATATTATGCATCTCTGTGGTTGAAATGGGAGATATGGTGCAGAAATGACTCATATTTCTACACCTGAGCCAAAACCCTTTTACCCTGACAAACAGTTTAGTTACACTCCAACAGATTTTATTAAAACTCAGCTGACGTGATAGTTTTCTCCTCAATCCCAAGTCCAAATGGGAAATAATGTATATGAGTGCAATATGCCACCATTATAAAGTTATTTTATTACTCTAACAGAGGGGCCATCTCTGCTTGTACTCTGCGTTGCATTGTTAACATTAACTGCATGCGGTGCAGTTGTTCCACAGAGGCACAGTCTCACAGGAGGAAGCTTTTCATGGTACTGGGGCAGAGCCAGAGACTTGTCCTCAGCACCAAGGGAGCTCTGCCTAACTGTGAAGGGAAGACCATCATGACAGAAGCCACTGAGCTGCATTAGCTCCTTTACAGTTGCTCTGCAGGCCCTAATGGTTATTAGCTTAAGGGGCATTTAATGTACACAGCTTTTGAAACGACTATGCAAGGAAAATATCATTCCACCAAGAAGTGTAAGAGTGAGCAAACGTAGAGTTTAGCTCAACTCCCTGTGGACAAGCTGCTCTGAGTTTGGAAAGAAACGCTCAGGAACGGCTCATCTGGTGAAATTCTGTGCACAGACTCTGTATGACATTGCCTATAATTGTGTTTTGTTTCATGATTCCGATCGTGTTAATGTGCAATAACTTTTTTTTTTATTATTGTGCTTTTTTTTTTAAACTTGTTACTGCTCAAGCCTCCATGACAGCTCTGTGTTCCTACTAGCACACTGTCTTTGTACCACATATTTATACTAGGGTTATATAAATCATTTTATTTTCTTAACAAAGCATTGTACATGTTAACACACTGTTTTTTATAAGGAAGAAAAAAAAAAGATGTAGACATTTTGTAACAAAGTTATTTTCTTGTATAACTAGTGCTGCTAAAATATAAGATAGTACCCCACTCGCTTGTATTAGTCTGCTATATGTTGCACAGACACATCCTTCATAGTTTACTGAGGCAGATACAGCTTTCACCACCAAGAAAAAAAACAAAAAAAACATGTATAATGTTTGAGAAACTAGAAAATTGAACCTAATGTAAGAGTCATTAAGTAATCGTATTGTTCTCCATCGTTGCTAAGTCGAAAACTGAACACAGTCTAAACTATGAGACTGACCGGTTCGCACTTTGTATGCAAATGAACATGGAAGAGAAGGTGACGAGGATAAGAGGCTGCTGAAGAGCTCTGATAATCAGTCAAGGGCGCTGGAGTAGCAGCTCTCGCAGTGGACTTTCCCATCGTGTAGGAACATGCTGAAGAGAAGGTCTCCCATTGGCTTATCACAGACGGCACACTTCGGAAGAAGGAGAATGTTATTAGAAAATGTAATTAATGAAAACATGCAGTGAAGGGCAGGGCAGTCATTGTTGAAATGTTCTCATACTTGTCATGACACACGGCGAACAAAACTGTTGGAGCTTTTAAAGTATTATTAACTCCGTAATAAGACTGCCAATATACAACTGCTGAATATAAACTGTATTTGAAGATTTCAAAGGATAACCAAGAAACCCATGTAAACATTTAAAAATGCAAACACTCTTTTTGGCTGTTTTGCCTTAATTTAGATACGAAGATTGATACTACGTGTCAAATATTTACTATAGCTAAAAGAAGGTTAGATTAACACAATACCGAGGGCACGTTGTTGCTGCCTAAATCTGCCAACAAGCATCTTCCCAACAAGCATCTCATGTTACCTAATACTCAGTTAAGAACAGAACAGGACTAGACTCGAGGAACGGATCACTCCAAGCCAAGAATTTGTACAGCACATAACCTCATATTAGAGCCTCATGTTAGCATTCTCACTTTGTGTACAAATTAAGGTGTACAATTTTATATATGTTTTTTTTTTTTTAATATAACGCTTTAAAGCTGTTTGTAAGTGATTCTTGAACTAACGGGAGTGTCAGGCCTGTTCTTTATCTGTTTGCAGGTTTTGCTGTGCTAACCTTGTAATGGTTATAAAGTCAGATGTACCATAAAGACATGAGCGTGGCACACAGTTCCTTATCTAAGCATAAAAAATGTTCTAAATTGTCAACCTTTAAGTGTTTAAAAGCTGGGTTCATTTTAGGATTAGTCCCTTCTCCTGTTGTCGTATGAACGTCAAGTAGTATCTTGCACAGAACTGAGCAGACGGATGGTGTGTTACCTTGAAGCAGGCAGGGTGGCAGTTGACATTGAGGTGCTCGATGGAGATCTTGGCGTCGTTGCCGACCAGCTTTCCACAGTAGTTACAGGTGGATGACAGCGAGCCGCTAGGGAGACAGCAATGGAGAAAAGTTAGTTTGGCCACTGACTCGTGCTGCTCTAGTGCAACTTCAGCTCTGTTTGCTTAAATAACCTGTGATCTTTTCTCTGCTGTGCATGGGAACTTAATAAGTGTAAATAATCCTTTGATGTCCCCACTTAGCCTCCTAATGAGCAGGCTTGCTGGAATTTCTGCCCCGCTGCTCGCACTAGTTTCGTTAAAACTGGAGATAATAAGGCAGGGGGGGGAAAGGGTCAGGCTTATAGCTGCTTTAGAACAGGTTTAGGGAGTTGAGTTGTTGCTAGTTTTAATTGGAGGGGCTGCTGAAAAAGTAGCTGACAACCATGACGTCAAACGTTTGACCCACGATGCAAGCAAGCGAGGTCTTCTGAGGAAAATGTGCGAGCTCTAACAAACCTGTGAAGTGGCACTCTCGAGCCACATACAGAAAGATTAAAAAGTGCAGGAAAAATGTTAACATTGCAACACCAGATGACAAAGTGAATGATGTTAAAGTAGACGTTGCTGAAGAGTGCTAAAAGGAGTTGAAATGTCAAGTGTAAGTGACATCTCAATAATAAATGAAACCCTTCAGAGTAAAAACCTTCAGAGAATTTCATGTCTATGTAAGTGTTGATACTGAAAGATACAAGTTGAAGCACTGAAAGTAAGTAGGCTGCTAGAAGCTCTGGACGTTAAAGAGTTTTGTTTTTGGAAGTTCCCTTTTTTTGTTACGCTGAGATCTGAAGAGCAAGCATTGGAAGGAGGCGGTCAAATGAGCTGTAATGTCAGTCCATGTGTTAATGTGTGAAAGCAGTCTTTTGGAGAGGAAGGGCTGAGCGCAGGGGAACAAGGGTTGATGCATGTATAGCTTGTTGAATAGAGGATAAGGGGTCTGTTTGTATGTCACCTACCTTGGGGGGCTGCTGTACGAGTAGTTTGCAGATCTTGATGTCAAATAATCTGACCCACTGTGTGGAAAAGAAACAGTAAGCAGGTCAACAGACGAGCATATTTTTTAAAAAATCAATAATGTTATTAATGGATTGGTCCTACCCGTCGGCTGTGTCTCTGGCATTATGCAGGGACAGCTCTGATGAATTCACGTACTCCTTCAAATACACAAACCCCCTGCAGCAGAGACGGATGAATCAAAGAGTGAGTTCATGTGCATATTCCAAATGGCTTTCAGTTGTCACTCTTCTCTAAATATCAAATCACTCACTTTTTTGTCTCGGGTTCTGGTGTTTGGACACGCTGCTCTTCCTCTATCACAGTCCTGGAATAGGTGTCATAACTGGAGACAGAGTGCAGCAGCAGTGTTAGTCTCATCGCTCACTCAATGACGACAGCACTGTGATGGCTTACAAAGAAGGCGCTATATCTGTCAAATGTAACTCAGGAGATAATCATTTTCTGCCATCCCTTGTTAATGGCACGCTGCTTAACAGGCTGTGATCTGACAAAAGGACATCTCTAATACACATCATTAATCTGACATCTGGAGACTGATAATTAGTGGGAGGAAAATGAGGGCAGACTGAAAGACAATGGGAGATCAGATCTTGCCATTAGATTTCACTAATAGAGTTGAGCCAGGAGTCTGTGTAAGCAGGAGTGTCAGGTAACTTTAGACCCAGGCTGCAGAGGTAAGAGGATGCAGCTGTGGTCCTGCAGGGTTTGGCCTTAATCTCACATCCCCTTATTAAAACAGGAATGTTACAAACACAAAGATGCAGCAGATCTGGTTGGTGTAAAAAAAAAAAGAAAGCCAAGATAACATATTTAATGAGGTTCTTTGGATTTTAAATACATTTAACTGCATTAAACATTTATTCTACTCAAAAAAGGGAGTCAGTTTAATTTCAGTGTGACACCCTGCCCTTGCTAAAAATGTTCATAGTAACACAATACAAAAAGGTCCAGTTAGAGGAGTGTCTGCACAAAAGTAAGAAAATCAACAGACCAAATAGTAGAAAATAGCACTCTGGAGAAGTTATTCTTGCATTATGCTGTCTGACGTTAACAAGATCATAAACTTACCGATCCATAGCGGGCTCTGGCTCACCGTGTATCTCCCTGGAAGGCAAGGCAAGGCAAGCTGTATTAGACTTTTTACTGTGGGTTGTAGCAGTCAATAAGCTGGATGCTATCCAGTGAACAAGATCTTTGCAGTTTTTATAAGTGTATGAAGCTGATCTTTCTGACTCACAGCACTGGAGGGCTTTGGATTTATTGACCAGGTGTGCCCTGTTTTCTATTGTACGGCAGCATTACCTCGTTCGTAGCCCTCCTCCTATGTTTTGTTATTGTTAACATTAACCTACATTTCTCTCGTGCTCTCAAATTCCGTCCCTCAGTTTGTGATGAAAAGATGTGAGATTTAAGACATTCTCATATTTTCCAAACCTGATAGTGGTGGTGGTTGTGATTGTCTGTGTCTGTGTGTCCTCAAGGCTGCAAAACAAAGGACAATCCTGTATTATAATATGTATGGTAGGACAAATTTAGAGTCAAAATACAAGTTTAGAGGAAGTTGATTATCCTCAGACCAAGCCGCGAGGAACGTGGATTTAACTTGCTTTCAATTAAATGCTTGACAGGCACTGAATTTTAAGGTTCTATAATCACATCTGGAAAAATAGTGGAAAATAAACAGGTTTAATGTGCATTTAATGAACCCAGCCTGTGGGGATACCTTTCCTCCTCCTCCTCCTCATCTCCCTGGTCTGAAGAATAGGTGGTAGTGTAGACAGTGGGTGACGTCCACCGGTCCCATGGGGAGTCATTCTCCTTGGATCTTTAGTACAAACCAAACATAACATGAGAGACAGAAAAACTCTCTATTTGTTAAAAAAATAAAAAATAAAAGCGTGGAGGGGATCTGCTTACCCCAGTTGTGGGTCAAAGTTGTAACAAATATGTATCTGACCTATTTCTGTGAGCACCAGTGCACAATGATTTCTGGCTCGCTGAATAGATGCAAAAGCCTCCTTTCTCCACCGTAGTGGTAAGAGTGCACGGGGAGGAGGTTATGGGATAAAAGGAGCAGATATGCACACGGAGCTTTTAATAAAAGAATGACTTACTTTCGCTCAAACATGACCGTCATGTTTTGATATTCATCTTGGCCCTCTGGTTTAGCTTTGTCTCTGAAAGGGGACGTACATTGAAAGGCTTTTAGTGGCTAATGCACATGGATGGGTGCAACTGAATGAAACATAGTAGAGCACACTGTGTGGAAGTGTGCGAGAGAGTCAAAGTGTGTCATCACCTCTCTTCTGTGTAAGTCCGCTCAGTAGTACTGGTGTCCCACGTGCGTGTCCACGACCGCCGAGTGCTGAGGCTGGAGAGCAAGAGTGGAGAGACAATGCAGAAGTTATGGTCAGACAATCATCGGTGCAGAGATTATTTTCAGCAAGACCCCAGTTTTTCTCCTCCATCTCTCATACATGTATTCATAACACAATTATACACTTGAATAGATGAATACCTTTTAACCTCAGTGTTTATGGGGATTACATCATCTGCGAGGGATTCCAAAGCATTACTGCTCATAGTGTAACATAAAAGAGGGAAAATGAAATGTAAGAATTAAAAAATGCAGGTTAGCCGGGAAGGTTTAAATCTCACACTGAGAATTCCAGTGCAAGTCCAGATGCGGACCTTTGATTCATGCTGTTTCCCACTGTCTCTCTCTACCAATTCATAATTTGACAGTGAGGGTTTCAAACTGTTCATCAGACAATTTCAATGTTCTATTTTCTGAAGAAGAAGAAGAGTAGGGTTTTCTGTCACAACTTCACCAACTACCAAGGTGCATGAAGAGTGAAAGACTTGAAGAGGTCAAAAAGCTCCAGCAGCACTTGTAGTATGAAGACTAACTTCATTAACTTTATAAGACTGAAGCATTTCGGCTTGTGGCCTTCATCAGGGCCATCCTGATGAAGGCCACTTTTCTATTTTCTGAAACATTGTATGACTCCCCCAAGGTTGTAATGGATAATTAATTGCTGCTTTTCTCAATAGCTGACTTAACAAAAAAACGTACGATGTGTCTTCACTTGGATCTTTGTTCTCAGTGGAAGTTCTTGACACCCTTAAAAAAAATAAAGAAATGAAACCAGTTGGAGTGTGACAATAAGATGTTGGCACAGAACTAACAAACTGCTGGTAATGAATACAATTCTGGCAAAAACCAACAAAATGAGGCAGTTGTAGGAACGTGTACAGTAACATGGCAGCATTGTGGTAAAAACAGAGGTTATGAAAGTGATAAATGGGGAATTTGCATGATCATTTCAGTACCTGTTGATGGAAATATCTGCTAGCGGCTGGAGCAGGTCAGAGGAGCTGCAATGGAGGAAAGTGGCTCATAATCAGAAAGTGCTGCATTATGCATGCTGAGATGCTATCTGGCTGGCTGGAAAACAGTCACAGCTCCAAACCAATATGATTACCTGTTAGGGGATGTGGTCCCTATCGGATATGGATCAAACGTATCAGCCGAGCTGAAAAACAATTTCACACTGATTTCACTCTCAATTGTCAGCATGGCCCGTCTTGTGTCGAAGGAATTCTGATCACATTGACTCATAATGGAAAGATTTAATGCAGTTTGAATGGTAAACAGAAACACAGAGGAATCCGGGCCAAACTTAATCAAAGTCAGAATCTGGAAGTCTTTGACAATTGGAAAGACAATTCTGCTGCTGAATGGTAAAATCTGCGTGTTTCATGTTGTGTTCACTGAAAATGAACCCTGGTTACGGCCTATATCAATTACTTACTGCTAAACAGATGCTTCAAATGATTAAGTATGTTTTACAAAACAAAGAAAAAACATTCCTAAGATATCACTGAATTTACCAAAATGCACTGTATCTTACATTCTTTTAATTGAATGAGATTTTTATTTTACACATCATCAATAGAATATATAGTACACTACTCTTATATTCGAATACAAGTATCAATGTTTGGTGTTGCTGTAGATTAAATACCGTGATTCGGTGACTGTGGTTGTTTTCACACGTGAGCTCCAGCGATCTGCAATGTCCTCCTCGCTGCACGGAGGCAGAAGAAAAAATAAAAGTAGGGAGGGTGGTACGGATGAATGGCACGATTGGGGGGGGGGGGGAGCAAATAAAGGTTAGTGTGGTTTTTCTCATAAACTATTTAAAAGAGCAGTCCATTAGAAAAGCTTGAAACACACTGCACTATTTAAGGGGCATGAAAGCCGTCTGAAAAGAGCACAGAACAGACTGGTTCTGTGTGAGTGCGTTCTGATACCTTTTGTCAGTACTGATCACAGTTTTGGTGGTTACAGTGACAGTCTCTGTAGAGCTGGCGGGCAGAGAGAAATAGCGCAGTTGCAGGCAGAGTTAGTATAAAACATTACAAGGCATATCTGAATAGAAGGCATTTTCTGAGCAAGAACATCTCTGCACAGATAGATAATTGTTTAAGAGCAGCCTGTCATCTCCCGTCTACCTTTGTGTTTCTTTGGCTGTCTCATCTGTCGGTTTCTCCTCCTCTGGCTGCATGCTGAGGCTGGCACAGACAAAAACAAAAGCCGCAATACTAATCAGTACAGAACATTCTCTTCTATTTCCAGTCGCACAACAGATAAGACGTGGCTTTCTGTTTCAAAGTATTACTCGGGTCGATTGAGGAAAGTGTGACACTGTTTCAATCTCAGAAGAAGCAGGGGTTAAAATAGAATCCTAGAAGAGGGGGAGTCCTGATTTATGGATCAAACCTGAGGTGGGATGGGATTTATTAAACATCTAACACCTCAGGGAAGCTTGGCCCCTTCATCTGTGGGGATAAGAATACATTTTACAGAAAAAAAAGGGAGGGGGGGGGTTAAGCAGAGGCCGTGAGTAGTGTGTTTCTTTCTCACCTGCGAGCCTCTGTGTTCATTATTATGACATCATTAGCCAGGAGATCCAGGGTGCCACTGGACTTTGCTGGCTTTGACTCACTGCAAACATCAAACACAAAAGTCAAACGCAGAAGAGGCTGTGTGCAAGCTCCCTCGACAATGCAAAACTAATTCATGGCAAGGTGAGTTAAGGTAAAGCCTTGGCTTGCTACTGACAAGGGAGTTATTGATTTTCCACTGATGAAAGGATAATTCTTTGCATAACTCTGTATTTGGGGCTTGGGTGGGAAAGAGCTCTTTCTTTTACCTGTCTGGTCCGCTAAGCAGATACTGACTCCAGCGTCCCGGGCTGGGGGGAACGGGCTCTGTTGACTCCTTGGGACTGCTGAGGAGGGAGGAAGAGGGAGAGGAGGGGGGAAGTGGAGAATGTGTTAAACAAAAAGGGATTTAGGATTCAGAAGAGATTTCAGAACAAGAACGGGCCAACTGAGGTAGAGGGTAGGAGGAGATCATAAGAAGTCCAACAGTGCCACCTAGTGGGTAAAATGTATAGATTTTCAAAAGTGGCAAAATGGTATTTTTAACAAACCCTTCAGTAAGAGACAGGAGATCGTCTGTAATTGGTATACAGTTGCTGATCTTTGGAGTTGGCTCTTCTTCATCACTGTAGACGGTAAAAAGGGCAAAAAAAATGAGTGCATGTGCTTTGGCTTAAATGCACGCATTTCTTTTAAAGATATTTTTGGGGGGGTATTGTTGCCTTTTTGGATAGGACAGCTGAAGAGAGACAGGACATGTTGGTAGGAGAGAGAGGGAATGACATAACGAGGACTACAGCCTCTGTTCATGGGTCGCACAACATAACCACTTAGCTATCCGGCTCCCCAATGCATGCATTTTGCAATTACATTGTTAAGATAGATACCACATTTAATCAGTTCTAATTGGACACCCTCTTGTGTGAGGAAGTTTAATGCACCTTAAAATGAAGTGGTGGGTAATTTTGTGATAACTTTGATGTGAACACAGTGGCAGGTTGCCATTATATTTTCTCCTGCCAACCCTGCTATGACATGAGTGAGGAAGTTGTTGGTCTCATACCCCTCCTCTGCGGTGCGAGTGTCCGCTGAGCCCCCTTCTTCCTTTGCCAGGTCTGGCTCGTTATCTTTCAAGCTGGAGAGGAAAGCAACTTTAATTATCAGATGGCCTGTTGTTGAGGCTGGAGGCAATAACCCAATCGTCTTTCTTCATTTTTTTTCTACATTAACTTTTGCGGCATTTATCTTTTTCTGTTTGTACAATACCTGCTTGGACTTGTGTTGAAAGAAATGAGGGTGTCGGACAAGGCGCTCAAAGTGTCAACACTGGAGCTGTGGAAATAGATGGAGAACAAACATTTGGCATTCCAGGGCAGCTTTCAATCATATGTGTGACAAAGAAAAAGAGCAAACACTCGACAATAACCATTTGAAATACTACTTATAGCTTATCTTAGGAATATGATATCTAATTGTTAAAAAAATATTTGGTGTGACATTATTTGATGTTCGAGGTTCATTTTCACAAAGATACAACATTTTGATCCAAGATACAGATCCTCTATGTGAGTAGAAGTAAAAATGAGTACAGAAAATTACATTAGAAGTACAAGTTCTGCTTGACTGCCTAAGGATTCTGCATTTTTGAGTGCATATGTATACTGTATATGTATATACTGTGTATATATATATATATATATATATATATATATATATATATATATATATATATATATATACACACACACACACTAGGGCTGTCAGCATTAACTAGTCACACTTAATTAAAGTCTGAATTGAATGCATTCATGTTTTTAATCGTGATTAATCGCATGCTATCTTGTCTCTTTAGGCGCACAGTGGATAAGCCTCTGAGGTGTCTCCCTGTAGTCACAGTGATTGAAAAGAACGACACTGCTGCATCTTTGAATTCTTCATTTCACTTTAAAACTCAGACAGCTCAGCTGATTAAAATTAATATCCACCTGACATTTCATTTTTTAACCATTCCTTTGAGCTGTTATTATTATTATTATTATTATTATTATAAGTTAAAATCATGACCTTCGATCTACAAGAAGGGTCTTACTTTAGATCAAAATCAAAGACTAACAATTTTTTTCTTTAAACGTGAATAATGCTATTTTAAACATTTGATTAAAAATATGATTAATCATGATTACCTATTGAAATTTTGCGATTAATTGCAATAAAAAAATGTTTGACAGCCCAACTATATACATAAGAACTAGTGTCACATCGGTGTATGTCATGCAGATATATATTTTGCTTTTTGTATGTTATATTCATAGAGCTCTTTTAACCTCTGATCATGTAGAAGACGTATGGAACTGCCTCACATCATGCCAGTGTGCAGTAACTTCTCATCCCTCTTTATAGAATGCATACAGTCATTGAGCATTAGATGCATATATTGTTTAAAACGAAAAAGGTGGCTCCTCAGCTGTGGAATGACCTGCTTGAGGATCTCATAGCTACATCAGTATCTTTTTTTAAATCACTTTAAAAAACATATTTTTATCAAAGGCCTCCTTGCAATCCTTGTTTTATCCTACTGTTTTTGTGCTCTACTGTCAACTTTAGTCAATCTTTGTCTGAGTTGTTTCTATTTTAATCTGTGTTTGATTACTGTTGTTTTATTTTCATGATTTAAAAAGGATTTTATTGTTGTGTGTTTTACTGTTGGGATTTTATATTCTGTAAAGCACTTTGTGACGTTGGTTTTGATAAGTGCTTTATAAATAAACTGTATTATTATTATAATTGAGAAGTTAAAAGTGTCAAGAAATGCTTCAGTTGCTGCAAACATTTCTCTCTGCAGACCTTTTTTGCTCTCTGTAACTGCACAGTTATTTCTCTGAACCATGTTCTCAACTATCCTATTAACAGAATTTGAAAAAAAAAGGCACAAATCCTGTATTCAACTACGTTACAAAAGACAAAGTGAACTGCTTAACTGTCATTGAAAGTACCAAGAGTTTTGTGATGCTGAAAAGAAAACGTGCTTAATGAAATAAAATGACTGATATAAGTGTTATATGATGATGTGTTTAAAAATACATTCATTACCAATGATGCATCAATGAGTAATACGTTGTTTACTGTTGTATTTTATTGAGCTGGAGCTGTTTTTATTAAAATATAAAATATTTGGTGTTTCTCTTTCATAACAAGGCACAATGTTATATAATGAAGTTCATATTAAGTAAGTAACAGCAGAACACTGATGGAAGTTACAAGCATCTTAAACCTATACCTATATCTGAACTAGAATACGCTATGAATGGAATGAATGGCTTTGTGGATATCTTACCTTGGCTTTGGAGATGGTTTTGTATTCACTGTGATCTCTCTTACAGCAGACACTGGGATTGGCACAAATGGGACAGGTGACACAGGGGTGGGAGACACAGGAGTAGGTGAAAGTGGGACTGCTGGAGCCGGGGTAGGAGACACAGGAGTGGGTGAAAGTGGGACTGCTGGAGCCGGGGTAGGAGACACTGGAGTGGGAGAAAGTGGGACTGCTGGAGCCGGGGTAGGAGACACTGGAGTGGGAGAAAGTGGGACTGCTGGAGCCGGGGTAGGAGACACTGGAGTGGGAGAAAGTGGGACTGCTGGAGCCGGGGTAGGAGACATAGGAGTGGGAGAAAGTGGGACTGCTGGAGCCGGGGTAGGAGACACAGGAGTGGGAGAAAGTGGGACTGCTGGAGCCGGGGTAGGAGACACAGGAGTGGGTGAAAGTGGGACTGCTGGAGCCGGGGTAGGAGACACTGGAGTGGGAGAAAGTGGGACTGCTGGAGCCGGGGTAGGAGACACTGGAGTGGGAGAAAGTGGGACTGCTGGAGCTGGGGTAGGAGACAATGGAATGGGTGAAAGTGGGACTGCTGGAGCCGGGGTAGGAGACAATGGAGTGGGTGAAAGAGGGACTGCTGCTGGGGTGAGGTCAACCAGAGGTGTTTCATCTTGCACTGCAGATTTTAAATCTTTTGGTTCAGGGATGAATACAGGGAGAGGGGTGGCCACCTTGGTGCACCCTGGTTTCATACCTTCAAAAGGGTTTTTTTCTGGGACAGATGCTGGATATAGGTCTTCTTTGGCGGGCTCCAGGGCGGCTTTCTTCTTCTCCACCTTTGGTGCAACTGGCTTATTAACGATGGCATCAACAGCTTTCTTAACATCTGAGTCGACCCTGCAGGCCAACGAGATGAATTCATAAAAAAGAGGTAGCAGGAGACACATTCTGCAGTAAAAGTAGAAACTTTGTCCAGGACTTACGGTGGCCGTGGTTTGGGCCTAGGTGCAGAGGCAACAGATGTGACTGGGGCGACAGAGGAGGGGGGCGGAGAGCTCACAGGTGCTGGAGTCGCAGCACTTTCATCATCATCTGTTAACGCCACCCTGCAAGATTGTAGCCAAGCATGGAGATCCATGATCACACACTTGGACTCTCAGGCTTTTTTTTATTGCTTATATGTAATATTAGAGATTCTTTTTTTTTTTTTTTTTTTTTTTACCTTTTAGCAACAAAAGCTAGACTGTTGTTGACTGGTGAAGAAGTATCAGGTTCTTCTGGTTTTGTCCTGTGATTTTTTTAACATATAGATTCAATTTTAAGAAAACATTCACTATTTATAGTCACATTAAAAGGAAAATTGTACGTTTCAATGTGAAGTAAATTAAAAAAAAACATTTCTTCATTATTTGATTAGAGAATTACAATGAGATCATTAAGGAGTGTGACATGAGACACATACTCGTATTTCTTAGCAGCAGAAAGCACATAAGACCGTTGCCGGCCTGCAGAATTCTTCAGAACATTGCTGGCTGCCTCCGTCCTGCGAATAATGAATCATTATGATGTTAATGTAATCTCTACTTTTGGCATGTGAGTTCAAATTGGGTAGTGTTCTACTCGTGAGGAGAGTCTTACCGCTTCTCCTTCTCCTCTGGGCTAAGCTGGCTCTCCTGGCTCTCCAAAGTGGGCTTCACGGTGTAGGGGGCTCTGAACAACAGAAGCAAAAACAGACCTGGCATTAAAAACACATTCAGCAACCAGCGAGTTTAATGCATATCTGTTCTGTGTGCGCTCACATTTTCTTGTAGCTCTCTGAAGGTTTTTTGGTGAATTGTTTTGTTCCACTGTAATAAAAAAAAAAAGACAGATAACACTGATGTGGAAACCAGAAAAGTCATTTCAAGTTTTCTGAAGTATTAAAGTGAGAGACGCTCTTACCTTGGGCCGTTAGTTGACGGTGTGTTAGTGGGAGGCTTGTCTAGTTTAGTGAAAACGCCTCTGAAAGAAAGAACAAAATGCGTAAAAATACAAGAATAATAACCCATGGATTAAATACAAAAATACCCCATATAGTGCAATTTTCAGCACTCAATTCAATTTCAAATTTCAAGTTTAAATTAGCACATGCTGGTCTTACCTTATCAGGTATCCTGGTTTTGGTGCACTATGAGGACAAACAGACTTATTATCAACACAATTCTGTTGACTGGGACACTACCAAGTACTCAATAGATAACTGTGACATCAGAAACTTGTGTTTACCTCTGGGTCTCAGAGTTGGTGGGAGGCGGGGTGGGTTTTGTTGGTGATGAAACTGGACTCGTCTCAGCAGGAGCTCCATTGACACGGCTGGCCCTCACTTCTGCCAACCTGTTTGGACACACAGAAACTTGTTTTTGTCCATTCAAGTGGCCGAATTATGATAATATGCACAGAAATTGAAGCCTGTATTGTAGGCCTACCATGGCTTTTCTTCTTCTTGTTCATCGTCAGGTTCACTGCGGCGCTGCAACCAGCTTCCATCATCCCTCAACCTGGTCCTCACTTTGGTAGTACGAAACACTTCTGCTTTTCCTGCCCCTGACACACAAATAGTATAATATCACATAATCTGGGATATAATACACGATGTAGAATGCATTTAATGGCGTCTTTAATCACTGACTGCTTGATCCAGCTGCTTGTTGGACCTATATTATTCAGCCCCCTTTTGGACCACACATCACACAATCAAATAATCTTATTATGTATTAAAAGAGGGGCGATGGCAGATGCCTAGAATTTACACAGTCATAAGTCTAGCCCAGAGACACGCCCTCAGATGCCCTCTGCTTTCAAACACGTCATCACATTCAGATCTGATCTATCAGCCTGCTTACCTTTTGACATGCTTGTTCTAGAGGTTTCTATCTGTTCTTTACAAGCCACCTGAAAAAGAAAATTGTTAAAACAACACAGATAAAGAGCTTGTGTTAGAAGAAGAAGTGCAATTTACATCAGTTTGTTATAACACTCAATTTTTAAATGGGCCTTTCTACACTTTGTTCCCTCCCAATAAGGAACATGTGCTCTGTAAAGCATTCCTCAGTCTCATCCTTTAGACATGTTGATGATCCAGTCCTACCACTTTCCAAAAGATACTGCTGTTGCCTAAATATGAATGGACATCCAAATTCACAACAATACTTATATCATCTTTTGTGGTTAGATACAAAATATTCTAGCATAGAATTATACCTCTGATTGGACAAATACAAATTATTTTCACAAGTATCCAGATAAGCGTTCTCTCCATTTATTAATGGGTGAAAAAACATACAGCTCAGGGGGAAACTCACTTCCCTGAAGGAACTAAAGACAAAAAAAAGACAAAACTAATGAAGCACAGTCGAGTTTTGCCTTAACTGAAAATAGGCCCAGACTACAACTAATGCAAAACTTGTGGAGTACTGCCAAATTCAAAATGCAAATATAACTTATAAAACTCCTGGGGCTAAGAATCCACTTTATCTAAAACACGTCGTCACAATTTCTCTTGAGGAATTTGTCCTCCGCATTGGTGACAGTGCAAATACACTGAGGGCTCAGAAGGCATATTTATCCAAGGGTTACTGTCCGTTCACACAAGATAAATGATTGCTGAAGAGCACTAACAGTTCTGGGGCAGGACAGGCAACTCTCAAGTTAGGGAAACACCCAGAAAGACAAGAGGGCAAACACAGTTAACATTATAAACAGTTTATCAAGCATGATTGGTAACTTTCACATTTTCTCTTCTTAAAGCTGCTGATTACTGAAGCTTTAAATATACAATCTAAGCAGATAGTTTGCTTAATCTTGTAATCTCGTACGTACCTGCTTTCACTTACCAAGCAGTGCAATGTCCACCCAGCTCAGTTCTGTGATAATGTCCCTTCTTTGTGTTGCTGGTGTGAGCCGAGGAAACGTCTGTCTCTGTGTGACAGGTGTCTGTGGCAGAGAACAGGTACGGGCGTGAGTAACAAGCCCAGCCTGTCATGGAAGGTGCATGTGGGGTGGAGCCCAATGTGCTTGTATGTCCATGTATGTGTGCGTGCATGAGAGAGGTTGCTAAGAACTGAATTTTGTTTACACCTTCTCTTCATTGTTCGTGGTAGTCAGCAAGCACATACCTGTCGCACAGGTGGATGAGTATCAATCCTGAGAAGGAGCGAGGCAGAGGTAAGAAAATAAAGAGCACAGCGTGGCGTACTGTAATGAAGCAACTCACAGCAACATTTCCTGTGGGAACGCTGTTCTCATGCTCACTGGGAAGGAAAATGCTTCAAGCAAACACACACACACATCATTAAAAACACACACAATGGGACATAACATCTATATATTTAATCAAATCCAGCTGAGCATTGATCAAATTAAATGGAATTAACTGATTTTATTTTTTAAATCTTAAAAAACACATTTAAGTTTGATGTGTTTTTGAAAAAGAAAGAATTAATGAAACTGAAACTGATATATGTGTGACTCCTTGAAGATAGAATTCATTACAAAATAAGAGGTTGGTAAAATACAACTATTACTTATTTCAACTCTAAGTTGTTATAATAGGTAAAATAAAGATATTCTATCATAGAGAAAATATTTTCTCAGTCATCTTTCACTAGATGTGTTCTTATTAGTGGAAGACAACAATATTGTCAAGTTTCCTCAACATATGTAACAGAAAACACTTCCTGAGTTTGAATATCAGCTGACTGATGTCTTTGTGGAATTGCACACATGCTGTACATACATTAACAAATGCTTTTCAAATCAGAAAAGGGTGTGGAGACATTTCACAACATATCATGGTGGGTAGGAGGAACAGGAAATTAGCAAGTCTGAGAGCCACAGTTTCACTAAGTTAAGAAGAAGTGTAAATGCTGAGGCCTATTAAATGCCAGATCCCTCTCCCTCATTCCCCTGAACAAGAAACCAGTCAGACGGCCTTGCCCGGTGGTGCTGACTCTCACTGTGAATCATTAGGGTGCTGCTGGCGCAGAATCAAAAAGGGAATGCAAAGTATCCGAACTTAACCCCAACCTCATTGATACCACACCAAGACATGGAATGTCAAAAATGTGTCACTTACAAATGACAAACCACTATAGCAGCTGATTTATACATTAAACACATACCTTAAAAACTAAGTCCTCCTCATCTGAAAGTTTGTCAGTTTCATGACAGGATCAGGGATGTAGTTCACGATGAAATCTCACAGCCCATCCCATTCTTTCTTTGGATGACAGGCCTTGGATTAGTATCTCAGCAGTTTGCCAAACTTGTACAAACACAACCAGAGATACTCTAGTATCTGATTGAAGGTATAAAGTATGTTTGGAATCAACCTTCCCTCCATCCTGAACTTACAATTGTCCAGAGCGAGGAAATAGACAGGAAACCTCACTGCATCATGGACACTCCCTGTTTGTCCCCTCTGATGGGCACTACTGAGTTATCTGTTAACAGCAACTTCAACTCACACACACAAAACAGTGTCTGTCCTCAGGCTGTTGCCCTGATGTGTCACTAGTGTCAGGAACAATACCTGTGCAATAACCCTGGGAGGCTGCGACACGTACATGTCCGTATTACATTTTCTGAATGATGAAATACACCTTGATTTCACAATGTCACATCTCAACTGTCAAACACAGGCCATGCACACTCTAAATGTTGTTTGTACTTTTATATTGTCATGCAGATATAAAGCAACCTGTTACATTAAAATGATCCATCTACTGATATCACAATACATAAATAAGAATGTTTTAGTGTGAATATATCGGTGCACAGTATAGAGGAATGTAAAGACAAGACAAACTCCTTTTAGGCTGACCCAAATATCTAGCCAATAAAACATATCTTCACTCTATCTGATTAAAATATGTCTTTGTCTTGTTACAGCTATATATAAATTAAAATATATTATATTTTCATTTTAACATAATACATAATTAGCATGATGCTGCCTTATGCTAAATATATAGAAATTAGCATGTGTCCATAATTAGCATAATGCTACATTATGCAAATTAAATATACATTAGCATGTGTCCATAATTTGCCTAATGCTACAAAGTTAAAAAGTGAAGGGGTCTGAATACCTCCTGAATGCACTCTGGCTTCAGGTATGTGAAACAAAACATTAGTCATAAAGGTTGAGCATCTTAAATAGGAAGTCTTGAATCAGTGTCCACATGTCCTTATGTGCACCGCACACTTTCATATCACTGTAATCATTTGTTCTGCTGCTGTTAAAGTTTGGTCAGGTGGGAAAATCGGGAACCAAAATCAGTTTTTATGCATAATAGGTGTGTATCTTATAAATTGTAAATGTATAGATTCTAGTCTCTATTCTCAGGAACACTCTCAGCGAGATCGTGAAACCTGGATGAAGAGAGCCTCACCAGCACGAGAGATTTCAGCCAATGAGATCTATGAGGCAAGTAGATCTGCCACATAGTCAACATACTTTCTCCTATCAATGGTTTAGATTTAGATTAGGTCAATGTTCAACAAAAAGTCCACAAAACCATTTCTTAATAATATCATGGAATGTATTAAGGCATTGTGACATAAACAGCAACATCATAGTGTGTGTACAGCAGACAGGTGAAAACAAGAATGGAAGAAGATTGTTAGTCCATCTTTGAAGTTTTTACAGTGTAGGATCTGTACATTTCAGTTGTCATTCGTTTGTTTTTACCATTAACCAAGTGCTTTCAACCTTCTGTATCAACAGACTGTAGTGTGCTGATTAAATGCAGTATAATTATGCTGCCATCTGCTGGTGGAAATGGTACATAAGTTTTCAAAAGGCACACAAATGCCAAACAATTCAGGGTTTAGATTAAGTTGTTTGTTCCCTTATTTTGAATTGTCCAGTCAGTGTAACCTGATCACCTGGAACAAACATCCCCAGGCTTTCATGTCTCAACAGTCTTAACCTCTGATCTACCATCAAGCCCCCTGTCTGAGATGGGGGTAGCTCTCCACTGTGCGTGCTATCCCCTCCTTCAGACTGACGAGTGGCTTGTAGCCCAGCTCCTGCTTGGCACGATCACAGCTGTAGTAGTGATGGGTTCCAGCCAGTGCCACTCTCATCGGTGTAAAAGTGGGTTTGAAAGAAACTAGAGGTCGAAGGATCAGAGCCAGCAGCCAGAGGAGCAGGGCCAGTCCGTACACAAGAGAGTAGGGGAGGTGGTAACGTGGAGCAGCATATCCCAGACCCACCAACACCTCCGACATGAAGTCCCAGAATTTGATTGGCTCATCGTTAGTGATGTGGTATGGCTGAAATTGAAGCGGGAGATAAAACATTGAAGTAATTCTAACTTAAATGGAATTAAGTTTGTACAGCGTTCAAAGACAAACATGATGAATCCTTTTTAACAATTTCATAAAGTGGGGGTTGCACAGAATTGACAACTAGTCAAGGTGTAGACTTTAAAGCTATGAGATTCTATGCCTGATGTAGACTAATGGCATATAAGGATAGAAAATCTAAAACTGTGACTGAGCAGGACTATGACAGAAAGTAGTCAACACTGTTTACCTGATTCTTTGTCTTTGACGAGTGTGACTTTTTTTTGTTTGCATTCACTTTTATGGGAGTTGTAGCACACATTATTGTTTCATACTTTAGTGACGCTGTTGTGACCTGCATTACGATTTACAAATAAACACATTTTTTAAAGTTGAAAACATTTCTTTTCACTCACTTTTCCACATATAGGGGAGTCCGACCTTAGGCGTTCAGCTGCCAAGATGTGGCCATGAACCACATTCTCCACGAAGGTGAAATCAACCAAATTGGTCCCATCACTTCAGAAAACAAAAATAGTCAAATGGTTAAAAGAACGCCCAACACACCCTTATATTTCAACATTCAGGACACTGGTAGAAGAGACTGTTGGCTCATACACAACTCTAATATCAATCAAGCTGACATTTTTAGTGGCATTGGGCGATGTCCAAGGGAGTAAGTGTGCTTTGAAAAAAAAAATTGGACAAAAATAAAAAATGAATCTAGGTTTTGTTTTTGTTTTTTGGACAAAAGTTTCAAACCATAAATTATACACATGGTGATATTAGAAAGCAAGTTAGCAACAGTGATGCTAGGGAGGCCAGCAGAACAAACTGCAGCCTCTGAATAGGGATGCTTGTGTACTAGTGTGTTCTTCACAGGCGGAAAAAATGTCTTTATCAGCACACACTGTAAGGGGGTGAATTCTTCTTTTATTTATAACTTTTATGAAGGATATGAGTTATGCATAATTAGGGGCGTGTGCATTGTAGAGTTTTGTGAAAAGGGTTAAGGGCCGTCTCAGCTCCAGCTCTTTGCGTGTTGTTAGGTTGACTAAAAGTTTGATGGAGTCAGCATTTCCAATAAGCATCACTGAGCAGCTTCCAAACATTCCTTCAGAAACCACCGGGTGACGTCACTGACACTTCATCTAAACAGTCTGTGGTCCTTAGGTGATTAATAATTAAGAGCTGTTCAACAACTTATTAATAAAAACCCTTAACAAACTGTTTCACAATGTTCTATTAAAATGTGGATTTATATTTAGTCATACCTGCATGGTATGAGAAACATCTGCAGTGTATGATAACTATGTTCAATATGACAATAGTGTATGCAATCAGAAATAATTCAGTGTGCATATTAGTGAAAACATTACCATTTTTTTCTTGTCTGTAGTTTGGAATATTATACAGATGACATTGTGTTTAAAATGTCTTCTTGTCCTAATTCATTCTTTCCATCTAAATGAATAATTATATGAAATAGTTAAAGTGCTGTTTTACCTCACTGTTCTCTCCTTCTTCAGCCCTCATTCAAGCTAGCCTCACAGTTGTCAGCACATAGCTAGCTGGGGCTTCATCTGATTGGTCAAATGTATGAATTTTTAGTGTTGATGAATGACCCACGTTCATAAAATTGTTATATTTCAGACAGTCTTCTACAATGAGCTCATTTCGCATGTTCATACTGCAAGAATGATGAAAATGTGTCTGATTGTGCTGCTGTCCTAGTATCAGGGGGTCATAAGTGAGCATGTACATGACACTTATGGTCTGGGGAGGGCAAAACATCAGTGTCTCATTTTTAAATGCACATATGTTTGTTTTTATTTTCTGCAGTTAAGCTAGTCACCCTTTGTTGTAATTGAAATCACTTGACAGTGGTTATTTCTGATAAAAGAGCAATTCATTTTACATCTCTATCAGTAGAAAGTCAAATAGGCATCAGGGCAACAAATCCACCTTATAAGCCCTATTGCTTACCCAATGATGAACTTCATTTTCCCCCTGCGAGCCGTGTCCACTAGGATAGGAACCAGCTGTGGGTCCCGAGGGCCAAAGATGCCGTGAGGCCGGATTGCAACTGTGAGGAAACCTTTCTCTTGGTCACAAGCTTCAAGGACCAACTGAAACACAAAGGCAGCAAAATAGATTCAACTCTGAATACTGCAAAAAAGTGCTCTGATCATTTCCTCTCCTCTCACTTGTAGGTGTGACTGATTGCGGGTGGAGAATATTGGAAAGAGTCTAAAGATACGTGCGAACTACTGATGATGATGAGTCTGTAATGTTGTATGATACTGGTGACAATGAGGTCGGACCTAAAACCTGCAGTATAGGTGACAGGATAACAAAGACACGTCAACTCAGAATTATAACTATGAGTTACTTTGAGCCTCCTTCTGTAACTGACCTCGGTTTGAGTAAAAAAATAAAAACATGCCTGTTGAAGGAACAAATAAAACTCAACAAAGAAAACTGCAGACTCTTTAACTTCAGTTGGGAATACGGTTCTCCTACCTTCTCTTGCTGAATCTTGGTCTCTGTGTAATAGTCAATGGGCTTCCTGGCGTAAGGCAGATCCTCTCTTCCATTCTTAATGTCGGTCCCTTCAAACACCACACTGGCACTGCTTGTCAGGACTAGTTTCTAGAAAAACAAAAACAAGCAGATAAACTACTTTAATGATACAGTTGACAAATATGGCGGTGCCCATGCCGGCTGAAGCTGCTCTGGCTCTCGATGTTGATACAAGGTATTCCGACTCATTTTGCACATACTGTCCATACATTCCAGAGTGAACGTGGTTGTATGTGCATGGGTTTATGTAGAGACAGAGAATGTGTGAATACATTTTAGCCACAAATGAAGAGGAAAAAAACTTGTCAGCCTCACCTGAACTCCAGCCTTGAGACAGGACTGAATCACGATGCGCGTGCCCTGAATGTTGACCCTCTCAAACAGCCCACGGTCATCACTGGCAGGGGCCGGGGAGGCGCAGTGGAAGACCAAGGACACATCCTTCAGAGCTGGCAGGAGATCCTAGGACAGAGCATGACAGACACCTCACAGCGACTGACAGTTGCATCAGAAGAGCCATTGGTCCAGGCTAATGATGTTTCATGGAGCAAGTCTAAAGTGCTTGTGAGCAAACTGTAAATAAACTCGAAGTATTACAGCTCTATAAAAAAAATGTGAGTAACTGTTTACAATGCTGAAATGAAATCCTTGCATAAAAGAGCTTAATGAGTGAGTAAAATATCCAGATAATATACTTTAGTAAGAGTAGTAGGCTTATTTTACACAGAGGTGCAGTGTTACATGTTAAAGCCCGGCATTCAAAACTTTAATGTTATATATAATGGTATTGGCATTAAGATATGGCTCAACAATGAGAAGAATTACCATTACGCTGAATTGCTTACAAATTAGCATATACTTAATAATAATACCTGTACAAATTGAATACTTTTGAAAATACACCCTATCCATCTTTCATCCCCTTAAAAACTATGTTGTGGTGTAAAACTCAACATGTGACTTAATTATTGTTACATCCATTGTTGATGTAAAAGAAATCATATGTATTTCTTCTTCATGAAGTGAGTGGTTTAGCAGGAGGCTTGAACAGGAACTCTACATGTCACAATTTCTTTAGGAGCTGAACACCCCTCAAAGTCTAATCCGAAAAAAATAAAAATGATTCAAATACCAAGTTAAAGCAGACAGCTTTTTTTTCTGCAATGCAACAAGCTGATGGAGTAGCCTACAGTGTACATACAGAATAATGTGATACAATTCGCTTGAATGCATTAAAGCATGCATTCTTCAGGTATTCAGTCTGACACACAAATCCGAGTCTCACCTGTTCGTCGCAGAGGTCTCCCTGGTGGAAGGTGACGCCGGGTAGCTCGTAGCTCTGCCGGATGTCAAACACGGACACCGAGTAGCCTCTCTCCAACAGCTTCTCCACCAAGTGTCTGCCCAGGAAACCTGACCCCCCGATGACTGCACACCGTTTACTACTCTGTGTGGCAGGCAGGTATGCATTTTATGAAGACATTTCGAGAAAATAGGCAGCACCGAGAGACGGCATGAAATGGTAGTCTACAAGATTTGCACCCAAAAAACGGTATAACTCACCGGTCGAACTCGTGTGGCCATAATGAGTGAAAAGTGACTGGAAGGTGAACTATCAGGACTTTAGAAACAAGCACTTTCAGGCGGCTAAACGATGTTTTCCTCAGAGGTGGAAAATTGGTAACATACGTGTTTCAAACGATACAATACGCAGGACTTAAATGTGAAAAATGTGTCCTAAGAAACACAGAACACTGTTATTTACCTGTAGTCGGTGAATGCTTCGAGCCTGGGTACGAACCATCAATGAGCTGAGGAGAAAGTCTCTTGATTGGTCAAGGCATCGCTCAGCATAAAGTGACGCTAGAGAACAGCCAATAGCATGGAGAATACGTCAAAGAACGCCACAATATTATCCAATCGGCGAGGGAAAAGGGATTAGACCCCGCCCCGTAAAAGTCAGCCTTTTTAGACTGGTGTTTTTTTTGTTGTTTTTTTAGACAAGTGTCCGCTGTAATATTTACAGTCTATGGTGTCAGCCCAGAGGAAAGAAAGTGACAAATCAATTAATTGACTCTCAAAAAGTGTTAAGACTTTTTTGCATTTATTTTATTTTTTACATATCAGTAAGTCAAGGAACAAAAGAGAAGAAGTGGAGAATAAAATGCCACACATTAATGACTTAAAATACTTAAAAGTTCTCAGTCGATTTGTAATAATAGCTACCAAAATAAAGGAGGGAGACGTGATGGAAAAAAAAGAAATCGCACAGAGAAAAAGATGATAGCACAAATAAAAGAAGAAAAAAAAAGCCATGGAAAACAAGAAAGATAGACAAGAAACATTGAAACTAGTGTTCAAGTAAGCCATTTAGGCCTATATGAGATGAGACTTGCTTGTATGTCGTGCTCTGCTGTGGACCCCGAGCATAGATTCTGTGTTGGCTGCACAAATATGCAATATCTGAGGCATTTAATATAAATAAACAATTTACTCCCTGTCCCTTTGAATTAATTTACTGATGAAATTAACAGTATTATTTTTATTATTATTATATAATAAAATCAATTATTTCCATGTATTTAGAAGAGGACGCCTCGGACGACACTAGAGGGTGTAAATGATTTGTAATCCGTTCAATGTTCTTTTTTCATGTATTAATTTCTCACATATCTCAATGTCTCATCCTATGGTCTCATTCCAGGAGTTTTCACAGCGCTGTGTTTCATGGTCGTGTCATGCCTCCCGTGATCCGGCACATCCAATCATCTTCTTGCCCGACTGGTGCATTTCATTTTCACTCCCATGTGTGCCGGTCTGTCTCCTCCTGTAACACTTTAATGCAGTGGCTCGTCTGCGGGTAAAAAGGATGAGCAAATCAAACATTTGGGCTCCATGACAGCAGGTGATGAGCAGCACAACCTATGCACGCTATTAGGTAGAAACGTTCAAATTGTTTGGAGTATTTTATCGGGTATCTCTGGGACTAAAATAGACGGGGTCGAGGGACAACAGACAGTCGTTTATAAATAAAAAAAAGTGTAAACCATTTCACCTCCTTCTCCTTCCTAAATGATCGGGAGGCATCACCGCCTGAGGAAACAGTGATTGCCTCATAAATTTGCAGCTTTTTGTCAACCTCTATACAATATCTCATGGTGAGTGAGGATATCTTATAATTATGCTCATGCATGTTAATGTGTTGCATTTGAGCTTCATGTGATTTGGCTACTCAAAAACACTGATTTGTCTTACAAAGCAAACATCAGATTCTGTTGTAAATATAAACGTATAGGCTTTTTTTCTGTCTCCACCAGGCGACCATTGCCAAGAGACCATCCCTACAGGGTCCTGTACCACCTCCTCGCAAGAAGACGACCCCCAAACCAGAGCTGACCGAGGAGCAGAAGCAGGAGATCAGGGAGGCCTTTGAGCTGTTTGACACAGATGGGTCCGGATTCATCGATGTCAAGGAGCTCAAGGTAAAAGTGCTCAAACCTGACGGCAATCAACATGTGTCCAATGGAAGAAAACGGGGTTTAACAAATCTACTTCCTTCAAAATGTTCCAGGTTGCAATGAGAGCTTTGGGGTTTGAACCAAAGAAAGAGGAGATCAAGAAGATGATTGGTGAAGTGGATAAGGACGGCACAGGGAAAATATCCTTTGCCGACTTTCTCTCTGTCATGACACAGAAAATGGTAGATACCTAATCTATTAAATACACTAGCCATATCTGCCTCGTCAATATCCTTTATTTGCTTTTAATACAAAGTTTGTTACCTTAAAAAAAGAATCCAAAACATTGACTCCAACTTATTATCTCAGTTTTGAATTCCCATTTGACTTCACTTTGCTAGTATTGCTTTTAAAGTGCACACACAAATTCAGTTTATGATGGGACTGTTCTGTTGTCTTGACCTAGTTCCTGCAGAATGGTTACACTGGTAGTATAAGGATCGACTTGTAATGGATCAGTACATTGATTCATTTGATCAGAGTTTGTATATTATTGTTAGAATGTTAAAACACCATCATATCGCCCATCTCTTAATAATAACCACTGATATATGGACCAAGCTATTTATATTCATAATCATTCTCTTAATCTTATTCTTTTAAATGTCAGAAATAAAACTATTCAATTATGCGTTGGTTAGCGTTTAAAAATCATTATTGATTTAGCTTTTTGTATTAAATGGGCCTTTGCGTTTTATCGATCACGTTTATAAATGTAATCAAATCAAAACTGCATTGTGGCAAACTTCAGAAAATTGTGCATAGAAACATTGTATCCCGGTGAGACTTGTAATTGTTACGGCTGTGTAAAATGAATCTCCCACTTGACCCTTATTTTAGGCTGAGAAGGACTCCAAAGAGGAGATCCTGAAAGCTTTCCGCCTGTTTGATGATGACGAGACCGGCAGGATCTCATTCAAGAATTTGAAAAGAGTAGCCAAGGAGTTGGGAGAGAACCTCACAGATGAAGAGCTGCAGGTAAACCACATTACATTGTGATTGAAACATAAGACTCACACATGCTGTCAAGAGATTCTTCCTTTCATTTCCTGTTCTATTTGTGTGTTTGTGAAGGAAATGATCGAGGAGGCAGACAGGGATGGTGATGGAGAAGTGAACCAGCAGGAGTTCCTGCGTATCATGAAGAAAACCTGCCTGTACTGATGTGAGTGCATGTCAGCAGGGATGGTGACGCACGACGTGGAGGGGGGGCTGGCGGTGGTTTTACATGTAATGCTGTTCATCAATCATCTCCTTATTATGGTTGTGCCATATGTTTTTATTTTAAATTGAAGTTAAACATGAGTCAATGAAGGGATGGTTTAAGATCTAAAATGGTCTTTTAAATCACATGATGATACACTTAGCCAAAAACAGTCAGAGTACACTCTGTCTGGTTTGCAATGCTGCATACTTTTATGAATACATTCATATATTTCTGATGAAATGTAGGTTATTTGTTAAGTAATACTCAGTGCCTGCATCAGTACAGTGACAAACACAGTACATTACATTGATTGGGTGGATACAAATGTTTGCTTTCAGCCACATGTAGGTTGTTTTATCCTTGTTACTCCACTGTTTCCTGTTTCAGCCCTTGTATGCTGTTTTTCCACAGAAATATATTATGTTAGCCGTTTGTGTCATGCTGATGGTTTGGGAGCGTCATCTCCCTCCAGTGCTACCTGTAGATTTGTGCCTGTGCCTCTAAAGGGTCAATCATCAATCAGGGAAGCTGCCCGACCTCTCTGACCTCCACACCTTCCCCAAGAAGTCCCACTAACTTATCTTTCTCCTATAATATGATCGACTGTGTGTTTCCCTCTTGTTGCGTTGAGTATTTATCGCTCTGCTGATTGTACCTTTTCCTCTGGATGTTTTGTTTAATACAGTTACTTTAAATAGTAGATATACAACGTTTACAAGTGTTTAAAGTATAGAATAAATATATTGAAGCATTGTGTCCTGCATTATGTTTTTCATAATTAGTTTCATTTGTTCATCATTTTTTAACAGTTTCTTCTCTCTTAGATTCATAAAAACACACCATAAAAGATTTTCAATGCAAATGTTTAAATGAGGAGGCTGCTCTCATCAGCCATCTAACCTTTTCGTTATTACAAACAAGAACATTCAAGGTATATGAACATGACCACAGGATGGTTCTGAGATCCCTGGAGGTTCAGAGTCAGTCAAGCTCTCTTCGTGCAGAGCAGGCCGACGTCTGAGCGTTTTCAGGGAGCAGAGCTGATTAATCTGAGAGGCAGAATGTAAGGATCAGAGGTCAACAGCGATGATACCTAGGATTGAATTAAAGATTAAACTACTGAGCACGGTTAGTAAGGTTAATGTGGCGGCCACAGATGCTCTCCCTTCCTTTAGGACGCATCAACAGGGTCAGGTGAAAGTGCAGGTCGAAGCAAGGCCTCCAGCTTGGTCAAATTGCAGCAGATATCCAATACATAAAGCACTTTATAAACTATTATTAGAAATATTTAAAAAATAAGTCATTTGAACACAGGCAACTTAAAAAGACAAATTATCACATTTAACCTCATTTCAACAACATTTGTGTAAAAAAACATGTACCTTTCTCTCCTGGAGAATCTTCATCAGGCACATGGCAGCATTTTTTCATGAACTCAGATTGAGTTTAACGTCTCGCATCCAGAATCCCATCCACCATGTGGAATGTGACCCAACAACAGCAACAAATCCTTAAAGAACTGAGCAGAGGTGTAGAACTCATTGCAGATTAGATTAGGCACCTTTTAATTTTATTTATTCATTTCATATCAAGCAAAGCAAATAAAAAAATATCCCTTTAAAAATGTAAACATTTTGTACATTTTCCCTGCTAAAATGAAAATTCACTACAAAAAGGAGCTCAAGTATAGAGGATACAAGGAATAACAGCTACACACCAACAAGAACACACAGACACTCTCAGGAGGATGACACTGCTGGTGAGGCTCAGATTTTCCAGTCAAAGCAGACCCGTTCTGTAATCACATGCTAACAACTAACAAACAAAAATACAAAGTCAATATTAAATATCACAGCTGCTCCATAATGTACGACTTTGAAATGGAGGTATGTCAGATCTGGACAGATTTCCTGGGGTTGCGTTATCTCAGTCCACGGCTGTAAGAGCGTCATGGTCTCAGCTCTGACTGAGTTTTGTCTTGGAGGCAAAGTCTACACTGAGTTTGCGCATCACATCTGCGTGGCTCTGTCCTGCTAGCTCCTGACGTGCAGTCCCATAATTCTCTTTGACAAAGTTTGCAAAAGGCGTTGGGGCACGTGGTTT